AAAAGCCTAAGAGAAGCATCCGTTTCCCCGATATTGGGGATATACCTCGCCACGACAAATGCCAACCAACACGGAACCTACTTCAAACAGGATTTCTTCCAACCATCTAACATCTCAACGAATGATGTATTTCTGGTTATTTTCTCTGTGTCTATTCGTCTGGTCGTATAAATTTTAATATTTTTGAGAGTTTTTTCCACAAATGTTGTAACATTCAAATTATCTGCTAATCAGTAACAGACAGATAATAATAATAATTTATATTTTGAAAAATAATAATTGCAGAATTCACGCCAGTTTACAGGTATGATCAATTTGATATAAATAGTAACATTAGATGTATAGAACAAACATGTGATAGAAGAAAGTTTTAAGTATACTAGTTCAGTAGTTGTTTAGGTAGTACATGTATTACAGCAATCCAATGCATCAGCCGTGACTTTTTAATATTTCTTAAATGGACAGCCCGTCGATTTATGAACGGTGTAATTAAGGTCATTTCGTGTGCCAGATCGAATTAATGATAATTATCTACAACGAAAGAAATTAAAACGAAAACAGAGAGCACGGAACAACAAAGCAGTAATTATCAAAATATATCAATCAGGTCTACCTAAATGCGTGTGTCGTGTGACACAGTGATATACTGTTGATGTTATTCAAATTAGTTAAACTTGCTAGGGACAGTGTTAACATAAAGTGACAACAAGTAGGTGGTTTTACTTAGGGAATGCACGAATAAAAATGGCTAAATATTCAAAGTTCCTATAATACTACTTGTGGAATGAGATACACTTCTAGGTGCTAGACTATTCAATGCATTTTCAGAGGAGCAGTATGTATCGATGCAGCGAATAAATAATGGGAGTGATTTTATCGTACGGATAGATTGTGGTAGGTTATTCCAGAGATGTAAAAGTTATCTATATAAAATAATTTTAGCGATTGATATTTTCGAATAATTTCAATATCTCACTCAGTAGACTAGTCTGAGCTAACTTCATGAAAATAAAAGACATAAAACAAGGTTTTAACAAGCAAATCCATACTAAACACACTTGTTCAATCATGTTTACTTATTGAACTTGACCATGTTAATTACTTTTGATGGCTGGTTCAAATCTTGGTGTATATATATATATATACATAGTACACATTTGTCAGTAAATTAAACTTGTCGAAGTAATTCTTGAGAAATAGAGTTGTATTTCAACTTTTGAAATGATTTTAAGCATAATTCTTACAGGTTAGAATTTGTTCTGTATAATAATGTTCACATCATCTCTTTTATTATAGTTGTCATTATTTCTCATTTGTTTCTCTCTTGTAAAGTAAATTTTCAATTTTCATACCAAAACAGATTGTTTGTCTTTCTTCTTTGGTTGGTTTATAAGTTAGTTTTAAAGCATTCATAGAGAAGTGACAGGATATACGTTTGTGAATTTGTAACTTATTCGTTTTTCATTGATCAATATACAAAATGTATTGCATATTGTCGGACATTTTTCCATTCATTTGGTAAATATGAAAGTATACTTTTTCACTAAGAATTTCATTTCAAACTCTAAATTTCATTTAATTTGTTTGTTTCATCTAGATATTTGAGATATTCTACTGTGATATGTTACTAAAAAGATATACATAAATAGCTATAGATGACAGAAATGAAATACTCAGTGAGAATTATAGCCCTATATGCTACACTCACAAGCTAAACAAACGGAAAAGTGGCAGATAATGCTAGACATTTTACTTTTATTGATCATTGAAAAAACGATATTTGACCTCAAACTTCTTGGTGGCCTGCTTGAATATCTGGGCTACCTGTTTCTGTCATTTATTTAGATATTTCAACAAGTTGTCTGATTTTGTTTGTTTTAACACATTGTTATATCTATTAGTATCATAACATATTCAGGCTCGTATACGTCTAAGGTACAAAAAAGTACAATCAGAGGCATCGTGGCGGCTGGTTATGAGCCTTGAGAAGAATGAACATTATTCAAATATGGATTTCTCAACTGCTAACATCTAATAAAGTTAGGGGCGGCCAAACCAAAACATGGTATCAATCCTTCAAGTCAATAAATTCTAGTCTGAGCCATTTCGGTAGATGTAGACTACTTTGTTGGGTCCGCGCAACTATTGTAACTAACAGTTGAAGACTCTGTGTAACATGGCTCAGAATCAATCACAATGCTGTTTGTGTATACACTCTTTGTTTTCCTTTAACCCATGAGATTAAAGTTGCTTCATACTCTTCTTTTTACGAACTAATTCTTTCTTCCTGTATTATATCCTTATGCACAATCTTTCTCTTATATATTACTACCATTGAAATGACTACTTCTATGAATTTGGTGTTCATCTTGTTGTGCTAATGAGTTATGGCAATTTAGACTGATGGTATATATGTGCCTGGTTCTACGTTGTAGCTGACTGACTGAACATCTAGCTGGCGATCAATCAATATTTATCGTCATGATCGATCATGAAATAAGAAAAGGAAACTTGTTGAAATACTTTGTGCTGAGAATTCTATATTGTACCAAAATTATAGTGTTGAATAAAGCCATTAATAATAATAATAATAATAATAATAATAATAATAACTAAATTGTATGTAATATTATCAGTTGTTGAAGTACACATAAAATAAGTTATTTATTATCTTTCCAGTAAGCTAAATTAAATTTTGAGAATATTTGGAATTGATGATGACATTTAATCAGAATATTATGTACCCAGCACTTTTAGTTATTTTTACATCCATTTAATGAATGAGTGTTCTATATTATAGTGTAATTTTGGATACGACAAACGTATTGAGTATTGTCAATGTTGTAAACAGCTTAATCCCTTCATAGACAACCAATTTGAATATCAGCTATTTGTAGCATTCAAGATTGGTGTTTAATTCTATTTGGAAGTCGTTAACTGGACGTGACTACATTATAGTATTCCTGTACATATTGAGAATGAAATAAAGTTGTATAGTTCATTGATAAATGCATACACTAAAATAAAATTGGAATTACGCTTGTGTAACATAGAATAATACAACGTACAGGTCAAATAGTGATGTGTCAGTGTCGAATTGATAATAATACAAATTTATGTGATTCTGTTTTAAGTCATCTGAACCGATGAATTATTCAACTTCTTGTCACTTGATGCAAATAGAGCATGATTACTAAACTTGTCAAATTTACTGATAGGTTCTTACCTTTTAAAATCAAAGTAAATTCGGTATAAAAATTTGTTCTTCTGACTGCCGATCATATTTGCTGAATCGAAGGGATCAGTATGGAAGATAGTATAGTGGGAAAGCATTGAAACTGTCTTTTTCTGTAGACTTGTATAGCGGGCACCAAGAAACAACTAATTAGATTAAAGAAACCACTTAGTTATTCTATGTGCTTCTCTTGCTAGAAACCTCAGTTACAGCTGCAGCCGTAATTATATCTGTATCTGTAGTCCATTGAAGTACTAATTCCACTATCGGTTTAAGTTTAAGCGTCGAATCACTGAAGAAGGAATCTGCCCTTTATTGTTTTATGAAGCCTTAAGTTACTTAAGAACATCATTTTATCTCGTGTACTTGTGTAATGTTTTGCAGCCATTCATTCTTACGCCTTTATAAACAATGAATTATTGCATGGTCGCTTATATTGGCCGTAAGATGGTCTGTAGTTAGCGTTGTAATTTTCATTCATTATCTATGGTCTTGAAGTCGCTAACACAAATCTAGTTGATTTGTTGCTACAGTATTGTTTTTTCTATACATTACTATTTTGTGTCACCTGTGTTCTGAGTGGGTAATAACAAGGAGCCAACTTCCACAATATTATTCATGGGATCTCTAAAAATTATTGCTTTAGTTCAATTTCATCTCTTGATCGCCACTTAAATGCCGAAGCACCTAGAATCTATTTACAGTCTAACATCACAATCTGTTGTTCACAGCTGTATGTTGTTGCTTTTCGAGGTAGTTCAAGGTTTGTAGATAATCAATTACAAAATTCTCTAACTAAAATTTCACTTCACCTAATCAATGAATAGTAGGCATGTTGTCTTAGTTATACTCCTTCTTGTGAACATTGTATTAATCTCTATAATAGCTTCATCATGTTTAGTGATAGAATCTCAGTCAGTAACAACGTCGAACTTCGTACCTACGTACGTACATCAGTTCAAGTTGCCATACTACATTAGCACAGAGACGCAGTTGTCGATTCAAATCCCGTAGTGGTAGAGGTAGTAAGAGTATAAGCAGTAGTCGGAAACATTAGGATTTGAAGATGTTATTCAAGAAGTATAATCCAGTGAAGCAAATTCGGAAAGAGGAAAAAGAGACATGAAGAATTCAGAAGATTAGAATTTGGGAGAACACAAAGTGTGGATGCACCTGCGCCGTTGCAAACGATTTTGAACCCTGTCATTCAGGGTCTCTAAACATCGGTCGCCATCATCTCGCTGTCCCCAATCACGTAGTCTACACCTACCAACGTAGCTCACTCCACTTGTCAATGACTTAATAGATTTGTGCCATGTTTTGGTCTGGCCTCCCCGAGCAATGTTTCGAAGACACCTATGATCAAATACTAGTAACCTATGAATATACTCTACTCTTACCAGCCATGTTTCACTGCCATAAAGTGGGACGGAACGGACTGCTGCGCAGTAGACCCGTCCTTTAGTTGGTAGACGGATATCTCGCCTACGCCATAAATGACGCAAGTTGGGAAAAGCTAATCGGGCGCTCTGTATCCGTGCTGAGATTTCGTCACACACCAGACCACAAGGGCTGATGAGACTTCCAAGATAAGTGAAACGGTCGACACGTTCAACTACTTCACTCCCTATCATTGGTTCGGGTGTCGATGCAACCAAATCCTGAATCAACATTTTGCATTTTTAGGGGGAGAATCTAATTAGATTAATTATTTTTGATCATTTTCTTCAAATAGGTTCTTTTATTTTTACAAAAGGCTTAGGTTAGTGTAAACTTTCTATCTAATTGGATTAAATCTATAAGTTAAATAGTTTTCTTACTCCTTTTAGTGGTGGATTTGAGTTTGATGAACTTCCAAGTACTCTGGAGTCGGAAGGTGGTGGTCTAAATGTTGACGATGATCTACCCGGTAAGAATAATACATATCATTTATATATCGTATAAGTGATTCACTGTTTGCATTATTTATCATTTGCAATTCTTAGTTAATTCGTCTTACAAATTCTTTGACAGTTTTCTACTGTTATGTCTTTCAGCCCGGCTAATTATCATGTGACTTATTCGCCAATCGGAATACGACTTATACAATGTTAGCATTGTGCCAAACTAATGACTTATCGACCGGTATGAACAGCTTAGCCTCCTTATTGGTTATTTTCCTCGTAGCTCTGCTAGTTGAGAACAGAACGCCAAAACCACCTCCCACTATACGAATAATTTATTTCAAACATACCTGGTTTATATACAAGCCAAAGAGACTACATCATACAATAGAATAGGAAACAACATTTGTAAAACTTCAAGCCAAAAAGTGGTTGTGACTGTGGGACACTGTAATTAATAAACTGGGCATAACTTAAGAATGGTAAATCGTATCATAATAATCTATAGGTTTAGTGGTTAAGCGCTCGCGCATGAGACTGATAGGTCCTGGGTTCGAATCCGGTGTCGTGGGTGCACACTGCTGAGGAGTCCCACAATAGGGCGAAACGGCCGTCCAGTGCTTCGAGGTTTTCCATGGTGGTCTAGCTTCAATTGACTCATGATCTGAACTATTGAAATTACTACAACCTCAACAAAACCCCTTCTGATACTAGTCAAAATAAAGCTTATAATAATAAGAGGAATGTGAATATACTGAATAGTTATACAATAGGAATATATATATATAATATTAGTTCATAAATAGTCCTCAGAAGTTACCCATCATTCGCTAGGATATAACAGCTATATAAAGCTATTAATATGATCTCGGTTAAAAATACAATACGTTGACATTTCACTGTGAATAAGAGACTATATAAATATAAATATAAATTGCATTGCTTTAATGTTGTCCACGGATGTTTTCTAAATTTATAAACCATTCAAATAGTGGATCGGTGATTATAATAGACAATATACTGTACACTTTTGATGTTTTCATTAAAACGCGAGGTCTGCAGTCATTATGATTTTGTATAATCCTTTTAATCTTTACCGGTTGTCACTGAAGTACTTGTTCTATCTCAGAAACATGTTGGGCAATATTGCACTTCTATAAATAGCTTTCAACACTTGGAAAATGTCAGTATAGGGTTGTGGAGATTATTAAGTTATTGATTGAGATCTTGAACCAATTGATGTTAGACCACCATTAAAAACCTGGAAGCACCGGACGGTTGTTTCATCCTATTATGGGACTCCTCAGCAGTGCGCATACATGATTCCGCGAGTGAGATCCAGGTTTTCAATTGTATGTTACACGTAACTTTGGTATTTTTTTTATTTGGAATAATTATGCAATGTGTGTATAATAATTGTGAAATCAATGAATTTCATTCTACTAACAATTGATCACATTTCATTCTGATCATAAGAAATACTTTAATTTCATATGTATTTGTATAAAGACTTAAAGAATTCGTTTTATTTACGTGTTAATCATTATGTAAATTAAGCATATATATAGTTATTATGCAGAAGCTCAATATGATATTTTTTAAGGAATAGATTGTACTTCCTCCATGCAATTTTCGGTTGAAAAATATTTAACGAGACTTCACTAATGCATACTTGTTTATTTCGCTTTAACTGTGATGGCTCAGATTCGCTGTCAATGAGTTCACAGCCTGGTGCCAAATTTTGATTTGACCAGTATTAGAATTCTTACTCTTACACCGACAAAGACTGCACGTCTAGGTAGATTGTAGTTGGTAATACTGCAACACATTTGTCAACCACTTCATTTGTGGAATATTTATTACCGCATCAATTGATTTGCTATCTTTTCCTAGTACTTTATGTATGGGCATTAATATAACTAACTCGGTCGTTTTGCGATACTCGAACATTATTTCGAAGACTCATACTATCGTAAGCCGGTTAAATAAACCATCCTTCACAGTCGTAGAGTAATGCAAAACGAACAATTGCCTAGTACATTCCACCATTAGTCAAGTCACTCAATTACTCCATTCACTGCGACCAGTCTAGAAGATTATTCAGATTAGACCTACAGAGAAAATTTGCATTTATAGGTAGGGGAATGCGTCCTAAATGCTTAGGAAACCCTGGACCCCTTTATCATCATCAAATTAGATTATATTATCTACCCATTCCAATTTGTTTGACTAATCTCTTAGTGAGAAGTCAGTCTTTGAAGAGTTAGATGAAGTGTGATGTCTAGAAGAACATCTGCGACGCAACTAAATAGAAAGTGAGTTAGGGAGTAACCATAACGAATAACACTTGAAGTTTACTATTCTGATGACAATTCTCTATAAGATATGAATTAACCCATAGTACTTGAGTAGGGACTCTTCACTCTTCATAAACCTTATTTTTTGTTGCTCAATTTCAACCAAAATACACTACTAGTCGATACGTTATGTTTAAATTGCACTTTCTAATACTACTCTACTATACAATGGATAACTTAATATCTCTTGGAAACGGTTCCCAATAAAGCACGACGGAGCCTATGGAGGTTCTATGGGAGCCGAAGAGTTTCCATTCCATCGGAGTACGGTAGAACCTTCTAGAATATCAACGTGGGATTCAGTGGTTGGACAATTGCATAACTTCCTAATTATGGATGAGCTGTATGATAATCACGTTATAACCTATACTAAAAACTATAAATATCCTTCTTTTTCTGTACATTTTTGATTCTTACCTAATGATTGCTTCCCCTGTTTTTCCCGTCTTTTGATTTGCGCCTGTGGGGTTCTACGCGTTGTATACCGTATTTACCGTAATCAAGTGAAAGGCGTAACAGTAACAACACGCATTTATTTCACTACATATTTGTGTACTTTCCTTTTTCGTCCTTAAGCTTTCGTCATGTTACTTTTTCTCATTCTTACTTATATCAATATGTATTCAGCTTGTGATGTGACAATCACAAGTTTAATCCAAATTATATTAGCTGCCACGCCTTTATAATTATACATTGTTTTTTGTATTTTATATATATATATAATGAGTAATGTAGTGTTGAATAAAATTACAATCAAATAGTTGTATTATATCTACACTATGTATTATGTATCATCTCTTAGGAGTAGCCAATGAGTGTATGTCATTTGTGTTACACTGATTATAATCATATGCTCACTAGTGAATAATTTCAAGAGGATATTGTTTAAGTTCTGGTGAGTAACTATGACCGGTGGAGTCCAACTATTTCGCGTATGAGGTACCTAATCATTGGCATTAGAGGTTGGTTGGACATTATTCCGAATTGATTAAAATTGTTGATGTGAAATGTTGAATACCAACTTATCAATAAGGTAGTTAAGTACTCGCTATACTCAGAAGTATTCGGTTCAATTAACCTTTATGGTCATGCATTCACTCTGCCGAGAAGTCTCATACTAGAACAAAACCTCTATTCATTGCTTCTTGACTTTCAGTGTTTATCTAACTTAACTCAGTCTGTGATGTAAACTATGTAAAACATTGTCAGTTAAACTCTAACAGTTGGTTTTGATTAAGCAATTCTTCAGATTCCAGAACAATATTAAATCTTCAATATAAGTAAATTGGACACAGTTGAACTATTTACTAAAGAATGGTAATATTGACAATCAACTCGAAATAGATATTCTGTAATCAGATATACAAATAATGTCATCAAAAAGTTAGGCTAAATACAAGTTGCTAACATTCTATTGTTAATAAATATCAATTTCTAGTTAATAAAATGTCGTTTAAGTACGTTATTGTTAGTGTTCTTCTATGTCTATTTAATTGATTATTTCTTGTTTATTTGAAGATGTTGTTTAACTTTTTTCGGTATTTTGTTGATGTTATTTGAGAATTGAAAGTGTATACATCATATAACATTGTGATATCTTTTATTGATTAACCCGTCAATCTATTAGTTGTATTCAATAAACTGATCGTAGTATCGTTTTGTTTTCGTCATAAGAAAGATTTTATGGTTTGTAGATTTAATTGACTTACACTAAGGAATATTGTTTTCAAAATATCTTGTCTCTCTAATGAATGAATGAATATATGATAAGGTAATGTTTTACTGTTCTATTACATGAGTGTGAAAGATAACCGGTAAAAAATGTTGATATAGAATAGATGAAATGTAGCTAGCAGTGGAATCCAGGACGCCCGTTTCATTTGTTGATATTTTGCAAATGCGAGACTAATTAAACTCTACCAGTCTTAGAAACTATTGTAATGGTTGATAGTAAGATAGAATGCATGTAACAATAGAGTGATCGGTTCCTCAGAGATTTAGTGGTTAGTTGCTGTGTCTTATGTTCGAATTTCATTCTATCTACTTTGGTGAGTAGTGAATTTTCATCTGACATCACATTCATAATGTTTAAGATGAAAAACAGTACTTATGAAACTGTATTGTTTGAACTTGCGATAAACTGTTTCAGTAATATATAATCTAAAGACCCTAAGAACTATGAATAATATAATACTGATGAACCATTGTACTTGTTAATATCTTAGAATATAAATAGAAAGAAAATATTCCACTATTTTTTTCGATTGCCCATACTACTTTCAAATCATGTCAACATACATTGTAAACTATTCTTAATTGATTTCTATTGTCAGTCAGTCAGTCAGTAACAACGTAGAACTTCGTACGTACGTACATCAGTTCGAGTTGCCATACTACATTAGCACAGAGATGCAGTTGTCGATTAAAATCCCATAGTGGTAGAGGTAGTAAGAGTATAAGCAGTAATCGGAAACACTAGGGTTTGAAGATTTTATTCAAGAAGTATAATCCAGTGAAATAAATTTGGGAAGAGAAAAAAGAGATGATGAGTAGATATTGAATAACCCTTCTCTTGCACATACACATTGTATAAAGTTAATTACCTTTCATAAATATATATGTTTTTATTTTCTTTTGTACACATCTATCTCATTCGTCCCCTTGTTAAATTAATGACTTCATATTTAGACAATTATCCTAATACAATTAATCCAGAATTTGAAATCATTGAATTTGGTAGGTGATATTTCTACTGTTGTAAAATTAATTCTAGTAAATGGATAATGGTTGTATTCTATCTGTGTTTTTTTATTGTCTCACATTCATTCACTTTCTGCACAAAAAAAGTGTTTAGCACTTCTCTTCTTTTATCTTAGTTTAGTGTTTAAGTGTATATCAATGTGTGAAATACTTCATTCACATGCTGTCTTACGGACAAGAGAAAAAATAGTTACACAATGTGCATGTGTGATCTAGTTCACTGTTTGTGTACTTATTATGTTACACTTTCTATGTACTTATTGTATATCCAAACAAACCCCCTCCCCCCACATATACACACATACAAATAAATATACACTACAACACTTCTTTTTGTTCTGTTTTGTTAACAATAATCGAAATGTGTTGCACATTTACATTTGCATATATTATACTTATCTAATTCATCTATTTTATTGGTGTCAACTATGATAATATTCTCTTTTTTTCTTGTGGAGCATACTTGTATCAATAAAATCTTGAAATATATTATATAACACCAGTTGGGATAATTAATCGTGTTCAGTAATTCATTAAAGTGTATTTATCTTGAAGATTTGACAGATCAGTGTGTAATCTATATTACATAATTCTTTCAGATTATTAAAAATTATCATCATCATCATTAGTGTAGATCTTGGTATGAATGTTTATTGCGACAAAGTTTATCACGCATCACGTTATCAAAACAAATAGTTAATACATAAATTGGCTTTACAATTGATTGATCATTGGATAGTAACTGAATGTCCTTTATGTCAGGTCCTTCTCAGCTCTGATGGAATCCATTTTCTCAGAATTGACTGTTTCTTCGTTTCCACACCAATCACTCTATGTTCTCTTTCTCGTCTTTTCAATTATCTTAACCTTCACTTTCGATTGATGATGCATACTACCTATATCTGTCGACATTAGTAGTACACATCATAATAGTAGTGGATTATGTATTTCATGGGTTATCATGATCGTAGTTTAATTTTATATACATATTGAATTAATGAATAGTTGCCTTAACCCTCTTGTTTTCTCTTCTGAGTTCATATCGTATGTTTTTTTTTGTTTTTCCTTTGTCTTCCATTGTTGATAATAATAATATTAATAATAGTCAACTGTTTTTATTATTCTTTCCTATTAATTTTTTCTTCTTAACTATTGTTATCGTGACATTTAATTGTTCTTTCCATCTTCACTCTCTGCATATTCATCCAATGTGAACTATTATCCTTCTCTTTCTCTCTCATCTACAAAATTATTTCCATCTTTTTAATTTTTTTTTCACTATCTTTTAAAATCGTTACATAATCATCATTCAATATATCCAGTATTTCCATGCTATTTATGATCCAATCCCTAATTTACTCATAAATTGATTGGAGTTTGAAATGTAAGCCATAAAATACTAACTTAGTTAAGTCTAAATGTTGAAATGCTCCATATGAGACGTGAAAGTCCTGTGTTTTTGCTTCCTGATGAAGTCATTGGTGTCCAACGTCAAAATGTTCCATATTATGATGAGATAGTTGTCCGGTGCTACCTTTTTTTTTAATGACACATTAACTAAAATCAATCTACGATAGATACAACCTACTATTACCATGAATGTTAAATACATTTGTGTAACTACACGAAAGATGATGTTGTTGAAAAGAAATGCTTATTCACTGCTATATAGTCATTAGTTTTTAATTTATGATATAGTTGATTTGTTTTTATTGTTGATCCAGTCAATTAGTAATCAATCATAGAAATAGTTTTAATTTAATATTTGATTTTTGCATGTTGAAATGAAATGTTTTCAATTTTACACTTTCTTGTTCATTCATTTAGCTGGTATGCGTAAAGAGATTGATGTATTAATCAAAGAGAATATGGAACTTGTTGAAATGAAGTAAGTGAATTCGTTTATTATTGTTGTAAATGTTATAACTTGTCAATTGAATGCTATTTGTTATATCTGTTCGTCGCTGATTGTTATGTCGGAAACTCTTATCACCTATGTTCGGAACGACGTACCACTGCAATTCCCACGACGCGAAAGTAAAAACACAAAGACTAGTATAAGTGAAGATTTATTGATCCCCAAAACACGACGATGACCCATCATATCAGTAAACGAGAATACAAGTTAGGACAACCAATGTATTTAGTACAAAATTACAGGATACCTTGGTAAAATATAAGGATCATACACTGAATACTTTATTTACAAATTTCCATCATTTGCCCTTCACATTCTGTATGATTCTTCTTATTCGCAATTCCTTTCTGTTCTCTTCAGTTCTATCTTTTTAGCCTTCTGCTGCCAGGGTTTCCACTGGTTTTTCCTACTACTTATGTCGACAAACATAAGTAGCATACATTACACTATTATTTAAGTTATTTTTGTCGCATTAATGAATGAAATATTATTTCTGATAATTGTTACGACAATTATACACTCTAATTGTTAGTACTTGTGATTAGTATTTGTTCAACAATTGTACTGTCTATAATTTTATATCACCAACTGATTTAATTTTGACTATCATATAAACACGAGAGGCACTAGATAGTGTTCGACTCATCAGTTGTGTACATTCATGAATCTTCCTCCTGGGATCAAACCCAAGGTTTTCAGTGCTCGAGATGACCGCTCAATCTTTGGATCACAGGGTTAATATACTTAAATTTCGTTTCTAACATTATGCAATCTATCATCAATTGTCATTATTTATATTTATCTCACGTCTGACATGGTTGAACTTAAATTGATGAATGCTGCTGACTAGAACTTCAAGAATTACACCTCGAAGTTAGTCACTGGTAAGAACATAATAATTGTCCACATGGCGTATTGTTGGAATTATTGACTGCTTTTCAGTATTTCCTGATTTCCTATGTTTGTCTAACTAAAGGCAATCAATATCAGAATGTGAAGATATAACTCGTTGTAACTCATTTCAATTGGTTCTTATAACTTAATATGTGTATGGAAGGGTCCCAGATAGTTCTCATACTTTTGTTTACCACCTTAATAATGTATAACGCAAAGTTGTTCAATGAGAGAGTGAATATTGAGGTGTATATTACGAAAATATTCATAAATCCATGAATAAACATGTGAAAACTAAGTCGAGTAGTTTTCATTTCACATTTTAGTTTAGCTGCCCCTAACTTTCTCCCTACTTACCGCTCCATCATTTAACATCGCCCATCAAAGTAGGTGGTGAATAGCCGCTTGTTAATGCTCATCCCAAAGAAGTATGGTATTTGGTTATTGTTCATTTCTATTTAACACTCAAATACACTATTGCTTGATATGATTTAGATGGATAATTAGTAAGTGGTCTATTCTATCAATACGTGAACACCTCACATCGATGCTATAATGAAAATTCGAAAAATCTCCAAGTGAATTCATGAAATTTTAAGGACTGTTAATGGCGATAATACATTTGAGAAAACAGCTCTTTATAAATTATATCAAGTCTTTTAATGAAAATTGTGATGAAAACTGGAAGGACGATATGAGTTTAGGGCAGCCGTCGACATAATTTGTCGCCGATTTAAAGGAAATTGTCTGTGTTAAACTATTCTTGCTAAACGTCCGTGTTTAAGAAATAACGAAGTAGTTGTAAAGTCCAGCTTTTGAGGACTTTCATTTATATTTCAAACAGGGAAAACGAAGAAAGGATGAGCTTACTGCCACAAAAGGGAATACTTTGAAGACGATAAGATTAGTTTACTATAAATTTTGTAAATTAAAAATTTTATGACTTGAATCCGCATATTCATTGGACGGACTATGTATTATCATCTGGTATAGGATGCCGTCTTTAAAAACGGAATGTAGGTATCAATACTCTACAGGTTTTGGGTTGTATATATATTCCATCTTAATATATCACTTGCCTGTAGTGAAACCATCTCTTAAAGAGTACATATTTAAAATTTAAAGTACCAGGTAAATTGACAAATTATGTAGTAAATTTACAAGGTTCTATCACTTATGATAGCTAGATGGTTCGTTACATTGACATAAACCTATATAGTCTAAATAAAAATGGGAATTGAAAAGTCTTATGATAGTTAGACTGGAACATCAGGTCATTCCGTGGAAAATATGAATCATGTAATCAAGTACCAGGTCTCTGGTTAACGCTATGCTGAATATGTCCAAATCGGTTATAATGACAAATACGTTTCGGGAATCTATCTTTTAAATTTCAAACATCCTTAAGTGTTTTGTAATCATTGACTGAAAGTTAAATTATTGGTTTGATGACCAGTGCACTCCAACTTATAACGGTGTTTTTTTCCACTGAATTTGATTTGTATGAGAGTACACAAATCCATCACATGTGGACGAATCTATTGATCGATTAATTTTGTAGTCTTTTCTAACTTACCTTGAAATAGAGATCATGTCCTCAAGATGATTAATTAACTACAATGAGAATTATAAACTTGTAAATAACTTTTTCAGAGATAACATTTCATATTATTTGTCATTTCTTCTTTTGTTTTCATCATATTAAACATTCTATGATGCTTGCGTTTGTGTGTGTGTGTGTGTAAAGAAATGCTCTCAATGTTGTGAAAGACGACCTACTAGCCAGAATTGACCATTTAACATCGTAAGTTTAACAGATTTTTCGGTCTTATTTTTAATCTACAAAGTATTTGTGACTATTGTTCTACTATCTTTGTTATTACTGATGTTGGATTTTGTTAACTGAGTAATTGGACATATTCTTTTCTCTACTGTATGAAACTTTATTAGCTTACAACTACAATGACATTTGGAATCGATGACCGATGCTAACTTCTTTTTATATGTAAAAGGCGCTCTAATAATATCTATTTATATACTTGCCTCTTTAGTCTGTTCAAACTAAATGAATTCTGTTTATTCTACGCTCACACTACTCAACATAAAAATGTGTTGAGTTGACCTATTGTCAAAAAATTGTGTTTGGCGGTTGTCCCATTTATATTACTGTTATACACACTTCCTATACTGTAGCTCAATCAACTAATTGAATAGGAAAACAAAAGAGGAACATGAAGCTGTATTAGCTAACCAAATCGAAATATGCGCATAATCTCATTACTTAATATGACCATGCATCGTCGGTAAATTTAAACGAGCTTATCAAACAATATCGTATGTTTATCTCCCTTGGAAAACTAAATTGAACGTTGACCAGTTGAGTGTGCAACCGTCAACATATTTCATTTATCATTTGTTCTCGATGTGATATGTCTAATTGTCTCATGCCATCACAATGATGCACATTATTTTAGGAATGAATGACTCGCAGTGGATTATTAGTGTAACGCGTTTTCTGAGATTGTTCTGTTTTGTCAAGCAAATCACGAACTTACTGTATTTATTTATTTAAATACAAACATTAGTACGAGGAGGCACCGAATATAAACTCTCCTGACTTCATCATTCAATTTGTGCGAGGGTCGGAATACTGCCCGGGCGCCCAAACCGAAGCAAGTAGTTTTCTTAGGGAGACATTTTCCGAGCCTTTGATCTAAAGGTTTAATGCACAAGGTAGTGAAGCGACGTTAGGAGATGCAGTCCCATGGTACCCGATGACTAAAAATAGGTTCATACATCATTTGTCCCCTCAGGAAAATACCAGACGCTTTAATGATCTCAGTCATCGAACAAATGACTTGGTTTTCAGTAGTTACCTGATTAAAACCAATCTGAATTGTTTAAAAGTCAATGTTTTCATGGGCTGATATCGATTCCTACTTTGGGAGTTCGTAAATCTCTTTCAACCTACTCCTATATCAATGATCCCGCTGTGTATCGATGTAGGCAGTGGTTGGGTATACACTTAATACACTGAATTCAGTAGTTAGTAAATATTCACTAGACTCATCATCTAACATAAAACTACCTTACGCTTAACTTTAGGATTATTTGTTTAACTTTTCCACCAAACACTATCAATGCTTTTCAAAACAATACATAGTTAATTATTAATTCCCTACATCACTAGGTTAGACATTAACACCATTGGATGCCGGCTCAGCGGTCTAAAGGTTAAGCGTTCGCGCGCAAGACTGAAGGTCCTGGGTTCGAATCCTACGAGCAGGATCGTCGATGGGCACTGCTGAAAAGTCCCACAACAGGACGAAACGGCCGTTCAGTGCTTCAAGGTTTTCAATGATGATCTAACATCAATCGGTTCTTGATCTTAATAAAAAAAAACGTAATAATCTCCACAATCCTATACTGATCTCGATTCTTCACATCACTTATTCTCTATTTTCAAAATTAATATCAATCAATATGTGTGATAATGAAATCTAGATAATTAAATTCTATTTTATAATAATTATTTGATTAATTCAATTATTTCTGTATTTTATTGTTCAATATTGTTTAATAATAATAATAATGATAATAATAATAATAATAATAATAATGATAATGATAATAATAATGGTAATAATAATAATAATGATAATGATAATAATAATGGTAATAATAATGATTAATTAATCACTATAGTAATAATTATTTATTCAATATTGAATTATTATTAGTGAGAATATATCATTACGTGAATCAGTAGATATGTTAACTGATTCACGTATTCGTTTACAAAGTGAATTAACTAATACTGATCAATTATTAAATGATGCACGTTCAGAATTAAGTCAATTAACTGAAAAATTATCATTATATCAAGATAAAACAAATGTAGTAAGTTCTTTTATTTTGTTTAGTATGTAATATCGGTTGATAATGTTAAGCTCATATTACTTTATTTTTAACTTCTGGATTAGGAAAATTTATCGTAGGCTACTATAATTTATGGACAACTTTTGAATGATGTTAGATTGAACTTGTGAGTGTTCATCTAATAACTAAGATCAAATGAGTGTTATAAATTAGTGTAAGGAATTTGAATGATGATTTACAGTTGATGGTTAAGGTTTGAAATTAGATTTAGGGTTTTCATCATGAACTGATATCAGCCATAATGTCAAGACTCTATTTAGCTAAATGGATGAATGAATCCGAGACCTGTTTGGTTTATACCTGATTGATTCGTCCATAAATTATAGTCTCACCTATGAAAGCTTATTTATTATTTATTTATTTGAACACATAAATATTATTACAAAGGAGCACTGAATACAAGTCACTTGATTTGTGTGTGGGCTATGATACTGTTCGGGTGCCCAAACCGAAGCAGGTGATTTTCCTAGGGAGTCACACCCGGAGCCTTAGACTTAAATATCTAATCCACAAGGCAGTAGAGTAACGTCAGGAGATGCGATTCCATGGTATCCGGTGACCAACGATTGGTTCATATATTATTTGTTCCTTTAGGATCCTGGAGCCCATGTACATTATCGGTTTGAAATGAGGGTTTTCCAACTTCCCGTAGATGGACTCTTCGTGTCTCCCGGTCTGATTAAAGCGCTGGACATTCGCTTTTCGTCCTCTCAATTTTGTAAACAACACCCTCGCCACAAGAAGGCAGTGAGTAGGAGTTTCCTAGCAGTGGCTGTATACGCGTGACCATATGAGAGCATTTAGAGATGAAGAGCAGACTCTCCCCACCTTCGGCCGTATAAGAGCATTTGGGGCCTGAATGAAAGCTAGTAATACTTAATATCTGGTCGCCTAAACCAAAGTAGTTAAGGTAAGGTTTTAAATTAGGATTTAGTGGCTGAAAGGTGAATGCCACTACATTAAAGATCAAACAAAGTAAGCGTATTTCATACTACTTTTAATCACTCTATTGAATTAGGGAAGTGAATGTTTGAATCCTGTATTTCATCGACTGCAGTTCGAATAGCTGGTTGTTAGTATCTCATATATGTAATTCGGACGTTAGTTTTAAAGTTCTATCTACCTACCACAAGTTAAGAGGATTAAAAATAAAATACTGATGTTGAGCTTTTTTTCCTGCTAATCATTGTTTTTATGGAACAGATAGATTTGTGGCTACCAGTGTAATTGAAGACGCACATTTCTCTCTATTTGATACTCTTCAGTGAGATATGTCTGTGTCCCATTATGCAGATCAACACTAGGATACAGGTACATCCTTATATGGAGTCCTGAATAGAATGAAACGCGTTTCATGGATGTCACTGCTAGCCATAAATTAATCTATTTAGTGTAAAATTTGTGTCTAATTGGTTATATCGAGACAATCACCTCATAATGTATATGTGCTATGAAATATGGATCAAAATTTAGTCAAGATTATCAAAAATAGAATAATTTAAATCCTTTCTAATCATCAAATAAATGAATATTTTTTTTTATTTCGCTGTTTTCACCCTTGTCAAAAATAATCACCGGGATCATTCTTCTGTTCTTTTACTGCGTCGAAAACCATTTAACTTTTTGGGCTAATAAATCTAATTTTTGACCTGATTTCATGTTCATCATAAAATTACCTTTAAACAGTTGTCAACTCATTTGAAATTATTCATATAATATCGTTACAATAGATTTACAATGTATAATGGTCATTTTTAGGAATAGGCTTGGACTAGAGAACAGTTAAATGAGAAAGATTTACCTGTCAAGATGTATTTGTTTGCTTAAAAGAAATTGAATTCCTCCTTATATTATTGGTAAAACAATGTGTATTTGATTTGCAATACCAAGTGTAGGTACATTTGCTTGGGGATGCTATGTCCCTAGAAAGCACTTGGTAGACTCATTTTTGTAGGTTAATTATATTTATTCGTATCTCACATTTCTGCTCCAAAAGTTCCCATTTTTATCACCTGGAAAGACCTTAAATGTCATTGGTTCGTTTTCTTTTTTAGTGTGCTATTTTGTGACGTTTTTGTGTTGTATATATACGCATGAGTTCTGCGCTTGTTCATTTGCTCTTCCGGGTTGCTTGTGGAATATATATATATATATATATATGTCTTTTCCCGTCTAAATCTGGTCTTCTCCCTCTAGTTAGCAGAGCTGGGGCTCAGAGGAATAGCTTAGCTTGTTATGTTGCTGCGTTGCTGACTTCCATTCCGTTCACTGGTCTTGGGTGATATTTTAATCCCTTGAACATAGCAACATTAATCGAGATGAGTTTAAAAGAAAACCGGAAATAACACAGATTTATTGTTCATGTGAATTGTTGTACTTTCTGTAATCGAATGGAAAAATAAAACTAACTTTTTGGTTATAATTTATTATAGGAATCAACTAATTCCGCTCAAGTTAAACGTTTCACACGATCCGAAATGGCACGTATTCTAGCTGAACGTAATCATTATAAAGAACGTTTATTAGAATTACAAGATGCTGTACGTTTTACAGAAACTTTACGTGTCAGTCAAAAAGGACATCGTGAACTATTCATGACTAAAACACCGACAATACAACAATATAAATTTGATTCAAATAGTCCAGTTAGTGGTCCATTACAAAGTCTACAAAAGTTGTAAGTTCTTAATTTAAAAGATGATAAATTTCCTTTGTATTTCAACTTTCATAAATCAGTTACCAAAATATTCTAAGTAAATGATATTTTTATTTTGAATTTATAACCTCCTACCGATGTAGTGTTTAATCTTGGACAAAATTATAGAAAGCATTGAACTTTACAGATATTTGTTTGATTGATATTCTTGTTCTTCAACAAATTTATCTTCATTTATCAAATGAATGTGAATAATCAACGGTCTAGAAACAGTCTTTCTATTTTTAATTGAGATCATGAACCGATCAATGTTAAACCACTATTGAAAACCTTATACTGATAATTATCATGTGCTCACTAGTGACTAGCTTCTAGAGGTAATTCTTAGAGTTCTAGTGAGAAGCCGTGACCAGTGGAGTTTATCCGTGTCGGGTGTGAGACAGTTACTCACTGAAGACAATGAAAGATGGTCGCACAATATGGTGGATTGATTGAAGTTAGATAGTAACACCCTTGGATGCCAGCTCAGTGATATGGAGATTAAGCGTTCATGCGCGAGACCGAAGGTTCTGGGCTCGAGTCTCACACATGGGATCGTGGTTGCACACAGCTGAGGACTTCCATACTGGAACGAAATGACCGTTCAGTGCTTCCAGATTTCCAATGGTGGTCTAACACTGACTGGTTCATGATCTCAATTAAGACTCAACAATTTCCACAACATCACAATTTCTATTTTTGTTTTTTTTCTTTTGCATTAATTGAATGTCGATCTCAATTGTTATTGTGATGCCCATCGTGACTCTTCCTTTTTTTCGAATAGTTAGAAAACAATTGATGTTATATTTACTTAGTATTGTTTTACTTGTATCTTCCCATTGATGTTTTACGACTGAAATTGATCAGTCTCTTATTGGCATATGTGCATACTGTGCGTATGCCTTGATGTTTTAGGACTGAAGTTGATCAGTCTCTTATTGGCATATGTGCATACTGTGCGTATACCTCGATATTGCCTTAATTTACAAGCATTATAAGCAGGTACATCCAGCTGACGAGTCCCAAACAGGACGAAACGCGCGTCCTGGATTCCACTGCTAGCCACTATCTATAATTGATGTTATACTATCAAAAGGGGTGAAAAGGAATGATTGAATTGTATTCCTGTCAGTTATTTGATATATGTAAATATATGTTTTAAAGGAATTCGTCTAGCATTCAATCAGTTCGTGGTAATCGACACCGCATGGCATAAATATACGTTGGGTCAGGTCGTCATTACTGACACTAAAACGATGAGATAAAATTGACAAGATCAATAGAAAAAGAGCTGAAATAATTATAGTTTCGGTAATAATAAGAAACACTAAACATTGAGAATATATTTCAAAAAGGTAGAATGTAAAGATATGAATTGAGTATAAATTAAATAACTAGTTAGGAAATTGGCTTGTGGGATTCGCATTATTATTATTATCTTTAAGTTTGATGAATTTTACTTTGGGTATCCATTTTAACTAATGTTGTGTTAAGTGTCAAATCCAAGTATTTTACAACTTTCTGCGTCCATTCTCTGATATATTCTAAGTAGTTTTGAAGTATATTTTGTTTATTCTCTGATGGAGATTTCATCGATTATTCATTCTTTGAAGTTTTAAAGTCGTGATAACTTGTAAAAATAACTGTATTTAGACAAATTTTAAGGAATTTGAAGTAAAACTAAAGTATAGGAACGACATTAGGCGATTGTCTAATAATCATGCTAAATCCAAATTATCTCTCTAATTCAAGATATGTTTCGGAATTAGTGTTAGTGAATAAGGTGAGGAGTTAGGGTTAGTATTTTGCTTACGAAGTGAGATCAGCTGCATTACAAGAACCCTGTAAAACCCTTCGGATAAACGAGTTTCACTCCTAATTATTTGAGGATATGTTCTTGGAAAGTCAATAAATATTCATATGGTGGTTGGAGGTAGTCAACAGGAAACCCTGGACCCGGGTTACGTGCTACTTGGAACTCGTCAGCAAGGTGTACCTGTAATTTTGAGGGAACTGATGCTCCCTGGCGGATTCGATCTCGTGTCACCCAGCTTCGCAGTCAGAGACGTTACCACTGAGCTATCCGAGCCGTGACTAACCTCCTGTAGGACTGAGATGTAATCACAATTGATTGATCACTGGGTGGTGATCAATGTCATGCTTGTCTAGTCCTTATTAGTGCAGATCGAATGCTATCGATCATGTTGCAATGTGGCCAACCAAATTTCCAACAATATGTTCATGTTATATGTTGAAAGTTTAACTGAAGACTCTTAGTTATTACGCCTGTTATCCCTCGTAGAGTAACATAGGGTGCCCACCAATATTCTCCATCGAACTCTGTTCTGGACAATTCTTTCCAGTATTTATTCATTCTTTTGATGTCTGCTTTCACTTCTCATTGTAGTGTGTTCTTTAGTTTTCCTCTTTTCCACCTGTAGCTGTCGTTAGGCTAATGCCGATCCCAGGCCCGGGTAAAAAAGGGGGTACGTTGGGCATGAAGTCAGCGAACCCCCATTTCGTAGAAAATAACCTTTCTAAAAAAGACTCTAACCAGAATAGCTGACGACTGAGTTGGACATAAATATTTTTATAAATGGTACATGGATAACATCATGGTCATTTTACGATAAAACTGACGTAGTATGTTTTCACTTGACCCAAACTTTAAACACTTCAAAAGCACAGTAGTTTTTCATATACGAAGAAGAGAATGAATATAAGTTTCTTGATTTAAATGTTTTTTTAAAATGGTTGAAATCATGAGTCAGTTGAAGCTAGACCACTATGGGAAACCTGGGAGCACTGGACGGCCGTGTCGTCCCATTACTGGACTTCTCAGCAGTGCGCACCCACGATCCCGCCCCCCGCGGGATTCCAACCCAGGACCTATCAGTCTCGCACGTGAGCACTTAACCACTAGACCACTGAGGCAGCATCCAACGGTGTTAATGTCTAACTTCAGCTAATCCACGAAATTGGGCGACACATTCACTATTGTCATCAGTGAGTTATTATCTCACAACAGACCCAATTATACTCCCTTAGTCACTGCTTATCACTAGAAATCCAGTAAATTACTCTTGGAGACAGTCACTAGTGAGCATATTTTGATTAATATCAGAAGCGGTTTTGTGGATATTTTAATAATTCCATTGGTTGAGATCATGTGTCAGTTGAAGCTAGACCATTATGGAAAACCTGGAAACACTGAAATTACTATAATGTCCACAAAACCCTTTCTGATATAAGTGTTCTTGTTCCTTTTTTTCTGTCTTGAAGAAAAAAACAATAATTTTGCCATTCTTTCTATTTCTGTTTGTTACATCTTTCATTTTCTCTTTAATATTTTTAAATTCTATTTTTATTTAGTTACAAAAGACTTCAAGAAAAACGTCTTCAATTGAAGACAACACCTATTTGGGATCTGTAACATCGCATTTATTGATTGGTTGACTTTTTGAGATCATAATTTTTTTAATCTTCTGTACTTGTATTTAACTGGTTTATTATTATTATTATTATTATTATTTTCGTTTATTTTTGTAATACTGTTTTGTTATTTGTCTTTCGTTTTTGACTTCGTATTTTTAGTTTGATCTTTACCATAATCTTTGCACTAAAAAAATATTCTCATACATGCACATAATTGACTGAGATTTTACTAACTTATTCATCTAACCATAAATAATAAAGTAAGGGTATCATTATTATTAATATAATTAATCTAATTAATTGGGAATTACCTCTTTCGAATTATGCTTGCGTTTTTAAAGCATTATGTTATTCTTGAGCATCCTCAAATCTAAACTGTCTTCGTTACTGATAGTTTTGTTTTTATACTACTTAATCATTGAGTGAGTAGTGTAAATTCGGTACATGAATTGTTTTCGAGAGTTTTTTCGTTTTTATGTAATTAACAGGTGCATTTTTGTTACGCGGTTAATTCAGTGCTCACATTACACATTGAATATATACACTGTTGAACCAGGTGTATTTATTTTTGTTATGTATTGATGATTCAGGAGTTTTTGCCATTATTATTTTCATAGAAAAAGGGCTTGGCTATTCGGGAAAATGTTTTTTTTTAAAATCAGATTACGTAGTTTTCTGATTTCTTTCTTCTGGATCGAAACAAACGTGATGGATCTGTTCCATTTTCAAGGTGTTCAGACTGTTGTTGATATGTGTACTACTTTCGTTTTGTATTGTCTTTTCTTTTGGTCCTACTGACCGAACCACAATGGTGTTGCTTTTTTTACGATAGGTGTATTTTCAGATCGCTCTTGCTAATACTTACTGATAGTGACAACTTTTCTCCTTGTTTTGTTAGCGTTCACTCTTCGTTGTCGTGGTTGGCATCTACGTGATTGTTTTCTTGTTTTAATCGACAATGAATTTCATATTTTCTCCTTTTAGCAAGATAAATTGTTGTTATCATTTCTGTAATTTTGACCAGTGATATTAATTTTTATCCTGAAATTTTTACCAAAGTGTATCAAAAATTTAATCGTTTATTATGTGATGATACTTAACATAATTGTGATAAATACAAAGGCTTATGTTATCAACTCGCATGCATATTAGTAATAATAATATCTTTTTCGACATTGATAGATTAGATAGGAATCAGGATGTTTGAACCTACGATTTGTGTGATACTGTCTTCTCAATCGATTTTTCTATATATATATCCTCATAATAGAGTAAATTTCAGTGTATTGTTGAAATAATTGTTTTTGAAAATACAGCTCAGTTGTATAGAAACTTGTTTCAACGAAATTCGACCTACGGCCTCCTCGCAGCACTGCTGGATAGTAGGAATAACCTTGCTAGCGAACTTGTGCGGACGACGGTTTCCGAACTGATCACCCACTTTGTTGTATCCTTGATCAACTCGAATTGACTCGAGGTTCGCTTAATCTCACCTGGTCACCTGATGTGTATACTTATGTATAAGGATTGCAGAAGTGTTCGGGCATGTTTACTTCATGTATGTACGTGTGTGCGTCGTACGAAGGCAATGTCTTCCTTATGTCTAATAAAATTAGCGGCCCGATCTATTAGATCGAAGACAATAAAAAAATACGGTTAAAAAGTACTAGGGAAAGGCAATCAGCAACCTCTGTTGAGAGAATGGTTATGCTTATATGTGTGTCCGGAAGTACTGAGGCGGTAGCCATGGGCCTAATTATATGCACGTAATGTGTAAGAGATCGTCTGGTGTAGCAAATATGTTTCTAAGGAAGTGGTGAACATCTACCCCCCTAGGTGGGTGAATATACTTATATCTGTGCTATGGGATGCATGGGATAAAACCTGTGTGTTATCGGTGTGTATGTAACGTATATTTTCTCACAGGGTAGGTATACCTGTATATATACCAAGGAATATTGGGATGAAAGTCCGTGTGTTAACTAGTATGCATGTAGACTATACCTATCGAGGATAAGTAAACACTTCAGAAATCCTGTACTTTCTCTCCTTACGACACCGAGATACACGCGATGGCCTGTGGGGACGAGGTTCCCCACAAAATCACATCCACATGGTGGATTCGTGAGCCGTAAAAATACGGAATCTATTCTAGAAGTGAATACACAAGCTTCCCAGAAAAGGCGTTACCAGCCTATCTGGCTGGAAAAACTGTTATCGCTTCTTGTTGTCATTATTGGTAATCTACAGGAATTTGATAATTGACAAGTTAAAAATGTTTCTACGACATTGTTAGATAAATGTGTAAAAGCAGACAGTGTTATGGATTGGAATAGGTAAACATTAAACTGTATATCATCTTTTCATGGCGAACCATATTTCGAACTTGTTTTTTGTAACTATATCTTGGTTTTTCTTGGGTAAATATTTAGTAATTGGTTTGTACAAATTTTTCTCACAAGATTTGTTGAGATAATGGATGATTTTCTGCTATTTTCATGTTGCACACGATAATTAGGAAAAATTATTGGGGATTTCTTGGTATAAAAAAATAACTATCTATGTCGATAAGCGTTGAAATCCCAATTCACTTGATTCCTTTGGTTAATATTTTCGATTGACGTGTTAATACAACATAAATTACGGAAGGAATAACAATAAGTCTTATTTTAGAATGGGGATAATCTCAAGTAATACAAACAAATTTTTCTTAAGGTGAACCTTTGATGGGGTCGGTAGTCAATAAACCATTTTACACTATTGTAGTCTTTTACATCTCAACAGATTTTGTATTTGCTTTTGTTTGTGTCTGATACTCAATAGTTTTACACTAACACATCTATAATATCAATACCTGACGGATGTTTTTATCAGACAAATCTTGTTAAAAGTCAGCCTCAGTTGTATTCGATCTAATAACGTAACGAAACAACTAGAAACTCTTTACATGACAATTTGTTAAAATTTCTTGGTTTGAAGTTTGAGTCTGTAATAATTCATAGTTTTATGATTATATTCTTTATGGATTAGCTGTGGAATCGTGTACTTTGTATTTTACAATTCAATTAACTTACTAATGGTGAGTACTTAAATAAAATTTTAATCAGTTGAATGTTATCACTAGTTGTGTGTGTGTGTGTGTATGCGTGTACACAACTGGCAGTCAATTAACTCACAAATAACTGTTGATATTATTTCACTTTCGAAATTTTATATGGCTATACAGTTAAAAAAGAGTAAATGAATGGGGATTTATAAGTATTTATGATGAAATAAACTTTTATTTTTAAAAACCTAACATCTACTTGAATATATATTTTATATTTTTAGGCACCTCTTTTTTGCTACTTATATTCTTTTGAGTAGTGTAATAATTTCATTGAAAGTTTGAAGGCGATATTTTGTTTATGGTATGTAACTAGTATACATTTTCGCACTACTTTTTCTTAAAAAGCTTCTCATCATTTACTTCTGGTCAACGTTCTGAAAATTCAAATGAATTAATTCACAACGTTGGAAATGAGTTGTCAATTCATGGGTAATTTCATTTTGTTATGTGTTTAATTTAATCTGTGAGGTTTGTGAAGTTACAGGTTGAAACCTATTTGATTTTGATATTTGGAAGCAGACATCAAGAGAATGGAGATAGATCGGATTGTGAATCGGAATTGGGAATAAATTGAGTACTGTTCCAGTTAATTCGTCTCCCCTTTTTTGTACGCTTGTCAGTCAATCAGGTGATAGAATAGTTTTCTTCTCTCTACCCCAAGCAGTTGGTCGGAATTCGAAACCACGCATACTAGCTTCAAGGTTAAATAAATCAGCTTTATCGCGTCAGGGTTTTAATCTAGATTAAGACAAGTTATCCTCTGCATATTAGTGGGTGGACAGATCAAGGACGTAAAAATAATGACTTAAACAACACTTTATAGTTAATAATAATATCTATGAATATTAGGTGGGAATCACTAAAAAACGATTGTGAGCAAAAAGATATTCGCAAACTAAATCTTATTTACTATGTCAACGGGGTCTTGGATTCATCAGTTAACGCGCTGTGTTTATGTGCACGTCTGACAAGACTCATACGTAAACAAAACAGTTTTCCAATGCTCCCCAGTTTTTCATGATACCACAACTGAAACCAGTCTGTGACGAATATAGACTATATATTTTTAATTTAATCAATAAAACACACTTTCGGAAAATTGTGTAATTTACTTAGATAACATTTATTATTTTTAAACAGTTAATTACCAAGTACTTATATGTTTGTTTCTCTTCGATTTCTTGAAATGATGTAATAAAAACATAGCACAGATAATTCCCTATCATGGATTACATTGTCAACGACATGTGCTCATTCCCCGATTTACGGTTGGGCAACTGGAAAACAATCGGACCGTAGATCCAGTTGTAATAATAATAACAATAATAATGGTGGTGTTATTCAAAGTAACAATGATTCTGTTGATGATAATGCACATTCTAATGTACCAGTCCCCATTCAATGTAGAACAATTGGTGGTTTGCATAAAAAAAACTTAGAGGTAAGTTCAATAGTTTAACAGCCATTGTGTCACGGACGTTTATTTTGAATAACAACTGAATGATGGCATTTCAAATGTGTTAACATGATAGCAACATAGAAAAGTGTATACTATCAGGGTGTAGTTATTTCTGTTTGTCTTTTGATACGTGTATATTATATATAATCAATGTCCCTAAACATATATTGTAAACAACATTAGACATGGCAAAAATCTAAATGAATATACCCAAGTTACAACATTTCACATCATTATTTTGGAAAAAGGGAAGTAATTAATTAACCATCATTAAGAAATACACCAGTATTGGTTGATATGAAAAACACTTTTAGAGAAATGAAGCAATAAATTCAAAAAAACTAATAATATATGAAACTGTGCTTAATGTCTGATATTTAAGAGGGAATAGAAGTGATTATAATTAAATTATAAACTATTTATTTCCGCTTCCTGGGTATCTGAATATGTAGATCATGATTCACTATACTCATCTTTTCCCACGAGTATCACTGATACTGTGGCTACATCTACAACTTGATCATATGTTTGGATAATTTCATTTTACTATGTTTACATGGTACGGTTACTTGAACCGGTGCATATATGTGTACCAGATTCGATGTTGTTTATCGTCGACTGAGCTAATCAAAACAGTTTTCTGCGTATATTAAACAACAAGGCAATGCAAGATGATTAGTGGATGTGTGCTCATTTTCAATCCTCTCTCATCCCTCGCTGTTTTTTTTGTTTCACGAGCTCCAGTTAGATGGTATCAAATGTTTATTGAATTCGAAATCTTAAACACTCTATCTACAAGTCAAACTAACTTCTTTTATGGTTATCACAAAAAAACCCATCAGCATAAATCTTGCACATGCAACTACTCGTTTGTTTACTTTTTTAGTGGCGAATACAATTTTATATTGAACATTGAATATTCCTAACACCATTTTTTGAATTTTTTTTTCTAAATTATTATTTACACAGATATGTACAGCACTTACTGTTCCAATCGCATCCTTGGATTGTAATTCCAAACCTAAAGTAAGTTATTACCTCATCCATTACTTACTACTAACGTATCACAAGTACTACTACTGCTACTACTCGCCTTGAAGTACAGGTGTGGATTTCTGTTTATGAGAGTTAACTACAAAACACTAATTTCAATAATATTGTTATAATTTGTAATATGCATTGAGTGAATGCCACACCTTCATTTCAATGGATCTTTCTTGTTCTTTTTTTCGCTATCCAAATTTATTTCACTGGATTATACTTCTTGAATAAAATCTCCAAACCCTAATCTTCTCGATTACTGCTTATAATTTTACTACATCTAGCACTACGGGATTTGAATCGACAACTGCGTCTCTGTGCTAATGTAGTATGGCAACTCGAACTGATGTACGTACGTAGGTACGAAGTTCGACGTTGTTACTGACTGAGATTCTATCACTAAACTTGATGAAGCTATTATAGAGATTAATACAGTGTTCACAAGAAGGAGATTTCAAACTGATAGAGTATAACTAAGACAACATGCCTACTATTCATTGATTAGATGAAGTGAAATTGTAATTAGAGAATTTTGTAATTGATTATCTACAAACCTTGAACTACCTAGAGATCCCATGAATAATAATGTGGAAGTTGGCTCCTTGTTATTAGCCACTCAGAACACAGGTGACACAAAATAGTAATGTATAGGAAAAACAATACTGTAGCAACAAATCAACTAGATTTGTGTTAGCGACTTCAAGATCATAGATAATGAATGAAAATTACAACGCTAACTACAGACCATTTTACGGCCAATATAAGCGACCATGCAATAATTCATTGTTTATAAAGGCGTAAGAATGAATGGCTGCAAAACATTACACAAGTACACGAGATAAAATGTTCCTATATAGCTTAAGGCTGACACACATATACACATTAATGTTTTCCTCTGTTTGATTGATCTCTTGTATAAAAGATCCATCTTTTATTCTCTTATTGATCGTGGTTGTTTTTTTAATCTGTAAATTATCATCTGATCTATCTAGTCACCTTAAATTCTTTTTAATATAACTAAGACAGATACCATCGCGGATTTTATTAGTTCTCATTCTGTATAAAGCATATCATTTTCGTTTGTTTACAATCATTCTTATGCTAGTGAAAATTGCATGATACTTAATGTTAACGATCTAAATATGTGGAATGATAGTGAGAACATCATTTGACTATGGATTATTTATCAAGTTTAATTAATCTTTTGTCTAATATATTCAACAATGTTGTAATTACTACAGTATCTATCAAAGTTCTAGTAATTTTGATTGTCAGGTGTTCTCATCTGTTCACATTATGGTTATTTTAAAAACTAACACTTATGCGTTTGACTTCAACAAAATGTTCTCAATCTTACTATCGTATCATATTCATACTATTCAGCATTGTGTTATTAATTATATAGCTGTTCCATCCTGGTATAGAGACTTCCCGACAGTCATTGTTTATAATCTCTTCTCAACAGATCAAATCTATTACCCTCAAATGCCCTGGCACGGCCGAGAGTGAAAAGAGAACGCCCTCTCTCTCGAAATGCTTTCCCACAGTCACGCGTACATAGCCACTGCCAAGGAAATCTTACTCACTGCCTTCTCGTGGTGAGGGTGTTGTTTATGAAATTAAGAGGATGAAAAGCGAGTATCCGGCGCTTTAACCGGGTTGTTGGGTATGGGGTAGCTATCTGGAAGAGTTGGAAAACTCTGATTCCAAATGAATTGTGCACATTGGCTCGAGGATTGTGAGGGAACAGATGACGTATGAACCTATTGGTGGTTACCGGCTTCGATGAGACTATTTCTCCTTACGTTGTTCCACTGTCTTGTTGACTAGACCTTTAGGTCAAAGGCTCGGGGTGCAGATGCATTCACTGTTTATCTACCCATGAATTTTCGGTTTCAAAATTATTTTTAGATTTTTTTATCCCACAAATTCATTCTTGACAATTTCATGTTGTCGTTAGTGTGGGAGTTCTTTTCTTCTCTTTTTGAAATAAATATATAGTATCATCTATGGCTGATTGGTCGTGGTGGTTCAGGAGATTATCCAAATTCCAATGATTCTTCATTATCAGTAAATCGTGGTTATCTTGGACAAGTGCACATATTTGAACCAACAAAATTCACTCAACCTATTAATAGTTTTGATTTAGATAATGGTTTCTTGCCGACAGCAGCTGTTTATGTAAAATACAATGAAGGTATTTTGTGATGTTATTATTATTTTTACTACCATTATTGTTATTTTTTGGATTCATCGTTACATCACAAACTGATTTTAGCTAAAAAAACATCGAAAGCCAAGAGGAATGGGATCACTGTTCTGTCTTAGTAGTGAACTCTTATGAAATGGGCACATAAAATACTTACTTAACAGTCTGAAAGTTAGACACTCGTGAGGCGAGTTCGTTAGGCTTTATTATTTATTAGGTTTCTAATAAACGCCAAAGCGTGAATAAGTATTCTGCCACCCTTAGGTGAACAGAGATGAGACACTGATATACTACTGGCACTTGTTGTGTCTTGTTATTATGGTTTAATACACTTACGATGTTACGGATTTGGGAACAGAAACGATTGAACTACTCTAATGCGACCTTTTATTTTCAAAATCGACAACAGCCATTTACACAACATATCAAACCTCAACGGCTAACACAGGAAGAAGACGAAACCGCAGATAACTTGATATTTGTAATAGGACAAATAACACAACCGGAATCGGTACGAAAGTTGTTACTATCGTGGCAGAGTATGACCATCAAGCATGCAGCAATTACAACCAAAGGGCAAGGGTCATGCGGAAAATCGAATAGTCAGAAATTGTGCGTTCAGGTATCGTTTCCAAAGAGATTTTAGCATTTCTAATACACCTTGACCTTCTTGCAGTGCTAGAAATAACCAGTGCGTTCGATGTAAAGACTCATGGGGATCGCGAACTGATGTTGAACCTTATTTCTCCGGGAATTTGTTGTGGCAGATGTATCATTACCTATAGTCAGTATCGATTTCTTGCAAAACTTCGATTTACCAGTTAATCCTCGACGGTGCCAACCCATAAACAATGAACCTACTATAGTGATAAAAGGAACAATCCTTAATTCTTGATATATTCCTTTATTGGTATCAAAAGACCTGTATGATCCACATGAACCACGTGGAGCTCATGTATATTTTATTTATGTTTAGAGTGATATATCAAAAGTCGAAATACTAGTACTGTTTCGGAGACGTATATTTTGTACATCCACTAATGGGTGCTGACATTGAGAGGCGAGAATCGGAGTTGACACATTTGCCTTCTACTGCCCGGCTACGCATACTGAAATAAATTGAACAGGTTTCAAAATTGGGACTGATTGTGTCAACCGTTAACTATCCATTGATACATCTTTATGTTTTGAATAAGTGATTCACTTGTGATTGCTCAAGGTCCCTTGATGGTTATCTTATAGTTTATAGTTGACTAGACCGTACCGATCAACTTCAACATTGTTATAAACTGGATATTCAACTACTATTCTCTTGCTCTCAACATTTTAACATTTAACTTCTGTTCTTAGCAAATCCTCTTCATAATTCCGTTTTTTTATTTATTCATGAAAATAAAATTTTTTTACAGCTGCATCAACTGCTCCATCCTCAATGGAATTAACCTCAAATCATGAATACATTGAATTTACATGGGATGTCAATGAATCTTATGATAATAATAGTAGTAGTAATCTGAATGAGACAATTTGTAATAAGAATAATGGTATGTCAATATTCTTTCTTGATTAATTTCGGCTAATAATTTATTTTAACTAGTCAGTAGTTGTATAGTTTTTTTTAAAATTTTTACCAGACTGATAGGTCCTGTGTCCGAATCCCGTGAGACGGGGTCGTGGATGCGCACTACTGAGAGGTCTCACAGTAGGACGAAACAGCCGTCCAGTGCTTCCAGGCTTTCCATGGTGATCTAGCTACAACTACAATCTCCGCAAAACCCCTTTTGATACCAACTAATTATCCCTATTTTCAAATTCCATTATCCATACTTGTAGGATAATTCATGATGAGGATGAAATTTAACTCTTATTTTTCACGTCCACTAACAACTACAACTACATAGTGACATTGGTTCAGTGATAATTTCCTCGACATTTCAGTAAGAGTGATAGGAAAGACAGTTATTGAAAGCAGGAGATTTTATTGTTTCAATTAAATCAGTCAACACTTTGAGAAAACAATACTGCCTATACAATAACAATGATGACTTTATAAGCATATAAGAAGATAATATATTCAAAGTGAAAGTGACCAACCCGAGAATAATTTCAAAGGTCAACGTGGTAACTATAATGTTGGTGTTTTGATTGACTTAATCATTCATCAGAACTGAGAATTATTGGCAAAAGAAAAAAAAAGTGTCGATAAATTTAGACTTTGGAAAGAAAAACAGAATGAATATTTCTAGGATGAAAATGTTTCACCTGTGACAATGGCTACATTTTTTCAATCACTTTACAATCAATCAAATAAATGATTAACAGTATAGATGCATTCTATTGTTTGTTTGTTTATAATGAACTGAATTCCTTGGAATGTGTAGTTTTTAGTAGTGAAGAGAAGAAAGTAGACTAACTGGAACATGGAAAAATTAAAGAGTGTAGACAATGGGAGATGGTCGCTTAATATCATGAATTGATAGACGTTGGACATGTACACTATTGAATTCTGACTCAGTGATCTGGAGGTTGAGCGTTCGTGCACGAGACCGAAGATCCTCGGTTCGACCTCCTATGATGGGGTCATGTGTACGCACTGCCAAGTAGTCTCTTACTAGGATGAAACAGCTGCACAGTTCTTTCAAGGTTTCAATGAATGGTAACTTAGGTTAGTTCGTATTATTAATAATATTCAATAATCTCCACAAATCTCTGTAATGATAGTTAAAGGCACAATTACAGTATGAAAGATTAGGTTTTGATTTTTACCTGTAGTGGGTAAATAAACAGTCATTTTAAATGATTGTAGGATTTGATGGCAAGTAACAATTAGAATAATAATAAATAAGATTGATGAATCTTACTTTTGATATTTAGCAGGGTCGTGTGTGCATGCTACTAAGGTAGAGAGTCTTCATACTAAGATGAAGCAGTTGTCTGGTGCCTTCTGCACTTTAATGGGCCAACCCCAATTGAAATTTTGTTTTGATGAATACAATCTTTAAACTAAAACAATGTACACAAAAACAATTTCAGTCACATTTAATCTTTGTTAGTTTGACGTTGCTTTTTCATGTTTCTGTAATTCTTCTCTTTCATTGAACAAGTTCCTTCTATCAATTTCTACATTTTTAAAAACTTGTTTTTTCTCAGATGGTTGCGTAATTGTAGCGTCAAATGATGGACGATTTCTAGTTTATAGATTATGTTATAGCATGAAGTCAACCAGTTCGTCTGATATGGCCGGAAATAATGACGATAATAATAGTAATTATAGTGAGCAAATTGTTTCAAGTCATTTCAATGTTGTTGGCTTACCACAATTAATATATCGATTTAAAACAAATAGTCAAGGTTTAGTGGCTAATGGGATGATGTAAGTTATGTTAATTTGATGATGAGTTGCTTGTTTTGTTTTCAATTAATAATTAATGTTACGATTCAGAGTGTTAAATTATGATTACAGTCTTCTTCAGCGTAATGCCTGTTATCAATGGACGTTGGTCCAAATTACCAATATTAAATTAGAATAATGAGATGAAAATAACAAGATAAGGAATAAAAGAGATCAAAGTTGCAATGGTAATAAAAGAGACTAGACATCGGGAGTCTGTTTTTAAAAGACATAGTGATTAAGAATCTATGAAAGCATATTGAAATTTTAGATCAGAAGCCAGATAAATGGTGAATACATCTACTCCATTGTGAACAATTTTGTGCATTTTCGCCTAAAGTCTCCAATTAGTAATCGCGGTTATCGCACTGATCCTAACCAGGTATTCTGCATCTACCGGAATAGTCCGCATCAACATTCATTGACTTTATAGACTGAAACTACGTTTAGTGTCGGCTACTCTACAAATTCTTCCAACCTGCTTCTACTTCAGTCAACTTCACTCTTCAACGAATATTGTGTTCTGGAAAACATAGCACCATATCCTATCCGCCTAAGTTGATGAAAGTATAAAACTTCATCAACCGACTTTCCACCTTTGCCTAGTACATTATGCTTGACCTCAATATTACTCACTCAGTTGTTCCACCAAAAACGAGCCATGCGTCAAAGTTATGTATGATCAAAAAGCCCTCAACCTATCTATCTTTTTACTTCCATAGGTCATTTGTTACAGAAATAATTTAATACAAAATAAACCCAACATAACTTCATTTAACTAACGAAATACGTCACAATTTTATTCCTTCATACATTTATATGTTCGTTCAACACTGATCAATGATATTAAGAAATACAACCGTTTGACTAAAATTAGTAAGAATCAACGTAAATGAATCATATAACATATTGAATGGGATATTTTCTAGTATTATAATCTAAACTAGTAATAATGATAAGGTAACCTCACTCGGTCGAAAGAAAAGTTTGTCATGAAATCAGTTGATCTACAGTTGAATCAAAATTAATGTAGATGATTCACACAACAATTGGGTTTGTTTTAAACTTCTTTGAAATCGATGAAGTGATGTCCAATGGGTACCTGTGATTATCTACGTTTTATCAAAATCTACTGAAAATTATTGTTACTTATTTTAAAAAATAGCGAAATCGAACGAATCTGGCCTTCTGATGACGCGTTCTATGTGTATAAATCGAAATACCAAGGCAACAATAAACTTCGACATGTGTGTACTCAACGTACATTACTGATTAAACGAACTTAAACTAAACCCTCGAATGCCCTGGTATGGCCGAGAGTGAGAAGAGACCTCTCTCTCTCTCTCACTCTCTCTCCAAATGCTTTCCCACGGTCACGCGTACATAGCCACTGCCAAGGAAATCTTACTCACTGCCTTCTCGTGGCGAGGGTGTTGTTTATGAAATTGAGAGGACGAAAAGCGAGTGTCCGGCACTTTAACCGGGTTGTTGGGTATGGAGTAGCCATCTGGAAGAGTTGGAAAACTCTGATTCCAAATGAATTGTGCACATTGGCTCGAGGATTGTGAGGGAACAGATGACGTATGAACCTATTGGTGGTTACCGGCTTCGATGAGACTGTTTCTTCTTACGTTGTTCCACTGTCTTGTTGACTAGACCTTTAGGTCAAAGTCTCGGAGTGTGGCACCCTAAGAAAACAACCTGCTTCTGTTTGGGCGTCCGGACAGTATCCTAGTCTTCACAAAAATCGAATGATAAAGTGTGGCGAATTTATATTTGGTGCCCCTTTGTACCAGTTTTTCTGTGTTTAAATAAGTAACATAAATAAACTTTAGAAAACTCTCGATCCAATTTCTTGATGCCATGAAGATAAACGAAAGTTAAAGGTTTGTATTTATTCTTTAACCGATGCTAATACATAGAGTAAATGTCCATGTTGATACAATTTGTTCAAGATCGCCTCTAAAGTTTATTTATTCAGGATATGAGTTGTAAAACTCCCATCATCTCAGGGACACTTACCTCGAGGCCACAGTGCCAGCGCGATACTGAAGGTTCTGGGTTCGAATCCCACTTGCATGATTGTGGATGCGCAATGCTCAGGAGTCTCATACTAGGACGAAACGTCCGTACATTGCTTCTAGGTTTTCAGTGGTGGTCTAAAATTTATCGATTCATAATCTCAATCAGTAACTTTTTTTAACTGAACGGATTCTTTCTGATTATAATTTTGTTAACTGAACTGTTTTCTTCCCATTATTTTTATTTCACTCTCGTACACTAATTTCTGTTCATTGTTGTTCTTTTTATATTACGCACTTCACCTTCTCTGTCACTTCACAACCTCATGGATGTTGTGCGGCTCATATATATTTTGGTGCTCCATTGTGCCACTGTTTGTGCTAAAATAAATAAATAAATATTTTCAGATGAATCAATTGTTTAACTCTAACGAAGGCTTTTTTCTGTATAATTCAGATATTTAATCCGGTCATGAATGTTAGCATATTTTTATTATAAGTCAGGTTTGTATATAAGGGTTCATCCATTATGCTATGATATTTGTATTTCTTCACTTCTGATTGATTCTTGTTTACTGTTATTCTTATCATCGTCGATCGAATTGTTTTGTATTCATCTTCCTTCTTTATCCCACCACGTTTATTCACCCTGTACATTCACATTGTTCTTCTATAGTTCACGTGATAATTATGTGTGTATTGGTCTATTCAATTCACTTGGTACAACTCATATTGTTTGCTTTCAATGGCCATTAACATTTATGCAAAATCAACATAATCATACCGTAAATACATCATCTTCAATGATTACTTCTACATCCAACAAAATACAAACAAAACATAAACTCATTAATTTACCGTATGAATCTTTATCAACTGGTCCGTTAATTATGGCTTCTTCGTTTTCATCCTCTACTTTGTCTTCTTCTAATCCTTGTTCTACTGTGATTGAAAATAATATTTCTTCAATAAATGACTATATTTGGCTTGGTACAGCTGGTGGTGGTCATTGTTATTGTTTAGCCGTCCAATCTGGTGATTTTATAACAAGGTTAGTTATGTATGTGTATTTTTTAATTTTTATATCGTCTCTCCATGCGAGACTATAATTTATGGACGACGTTTGAGCAATACTTAAGTAGTGGTTTCGAGAAAATTTAATCACTTATTGAGATTACAAATTAGTGTAAGGAATTGAGTTGCGGTTAAGAATTAGAATTAGAGCTTTACATCTCGAATTGATATCAGCTATAATGCTCAAGTGTAATTTAGTCATATGGATGAATGAATTTCACACCAAAACTCCAAAGTTCAATTTTAATTACGATTGGTTCGTCTATACATTATAGTTTTGCCTTTCCGTATTCTTTTTACTTGTGATGTACGCTAAATGAAATAATTCTTCAAGTTCACTATCAGTGTAGATCTGTATTGGTTTACCTCCTGCTTTCCAAATCATATTTTAGTTTCTACTTTTACTGTAAGTAATTATAGTGTGGCCATCATTGTACGGTTATTGGGTTTCCTAACGTCCTTATTGATAAAAACTTTTTCGGTATGGTTAAAAAAATTAAGAAATAAGTTATTATTATCAGAAAGGGTTTTGTGGAGATTTTAGAAATTAAGTGGATTGGTTGAAGTTAGACATTGACACCGTTGTATGTCGTCTCATTGGTCTAGTGTTTGAGCGCTCGTGCGCGAGACCGATGGGTCCTGGGCCCTAAACTCGCGGGGGGGGGTCGTGGATGGACACTATTGAGGAGTCCCATACTAGGATGAGACGGCCGTCCAGTACTCCCAGGTTTTCCATAGTGGTCTTGCTTCAATTGACTCATGATTTCAAATAAGTGGTTAGTTAACCTGCTTTTGAAAGTTTGTGCTCATATGATAATGAATAAACATTTTGTTGCCTGTAATAATTTGTTCATCTTTGTAGCATAAACTGATTTCATTGCATGTGCAAATTCTCATTTTTACATTTTATTCTTATTTTAATGAAAAAATTCTGTCAGACGATTCTGTATATATATGGAGAGATTACTACATGATAGACGCATATCGACAGTAAACTACTCGTATTTGACCACAGATGCCTTAAAAGTATTTCTCGCATCTGCTGGGATCACCGGGTAAGTAATAGTAAGGTTAGACGTAGGGTATTAGGGAATGATGGTAAATCAGTTGATGATGTTGCAAGTCTTCATCGACTGAGATGGTTGGGCCACGTGCTACGTATGCCTGAACACCGATTACCATAACACGCAATGCTGACTAGTGTAGGGGATGGTTGTAAGAAAGTTAGGGGTGGCCAAACCAAAACATGGCATCAGTGCTTGAAGTCACTAACTTCTATACTGAACCATGTTGGTAGATGCAGACTACTTGGTTGGGGTCCAGGTGTCTATCGTTACCAAAGGTTGGAGAGTGTGGGTGACATGGTTGAGAATAGATCATTATGGCGTAGGTGTATACACTCTTTGTCTTCCCTTATACCGTGAGATTAAAACTACTTTATATTTTTCTTTCTACGAACTAATTCTTTCTTCCTTATACAGAATTTTTCTTTTAAATATTACTACCATTGAAGTTACTACTTCTATGAATCCGGTGTTCATGTTGTTGTGCTAATGAGGTGTGGCAACTTAGACTGATGTACATATGTGCCTGGTCCTACGTTGTAGCTAAATGACTGACTGACTCAGTGAATAATCTTTTTACTCACTATATTATACTTTTCCATCTTACTCTTCATATAATTTATCGCATTGAGAAAAGATATCCACCTTATATCGGAGTAACGCAGTTCAGAGTTCCTTTTTATTGGTGATATTTTACATTTTTCTTTATTCTACTCTTAATTTACAGAAATATATGTATTATTATTATTATTATTTCATAAATATTTTTAACATGTACAGTTTAGCATTACCAAATGAAACTCCATGTCTACATGCAATATGCATTAAACCGTCTACAACAGGATTGGCCGACATTGTTTGGTTAGCTGTATCTGGCAATCCTACAATTTGTCCATCATGTGAGAAAATTTCAACATCTACAACCGATAGTAATCGTAGTAATATTGATAATAAAGACATTGATGATGATGTTATCGTTAATCAGAAAAAGTGTCAACATAATGTAAATAGTGGAGTAAGTGTTGGAATGGCACGTCTATTAGGATGTTGTCCTAAACAAAAGTGTATTCTACGTCAAATTGATTTAACTAATTCATTGTCTTCAATGTTAGGTAAGCTTGGGGTAAATTATTAATTATTATTCTGTACATAGTTTAATTATCATTGCATTGTAGATTTAAGCCATGTTTGGTAGATAGATGCAGACATATCTGGTTGTGGTTAAACTGATAATCATAATCATTGACTGTTTGTGATGCTGGATACTGTGGCTTAGAATCGTTCAGAATGATGCAGATAGATTAACTTTTTTTCTTCTTCTCAATCTTGAATTTCTGTATTCTTTCATACATCCGTTTCCATTGTGTTATTTTATACCATATTCTAAAGGTTTAGTCGTTCGCATTATGTGCAACATTTGGTCAAGTGGTTCGGTCATACGTTTCTTTTATTGTTATATTGTAATTCAATAATAAAATACAAATTTATGTTGCCGAACATGAACAACATATTTTATTTACTTAAAAGTAGGTAGTACTGTAGATGAATGAATAAATTGGTTTGTAGATGGGTCAGGATTAGAGCTTTCAACCGTTAATGATTGGAAGCTGGAAAAGTTTATTGATTAACATCATCGATGAGCGTAAAGTAATTCACTTGTTATTGAGATTTATGTGAATGATTGCATTTTAGGTCGGTTAAAGTTATATAGTTGTTTTCTGTATTAATGTAAACTTATTACTAAAGTAAATAACAGTTAACTCAAGTCAAAAAACAACTCATATTCAAACTGACAACAGTAGTCAACACTCAATACAGACAACGATGATAAAGTTTATGCATCAATCAGTAAGAAAATGAATCAGTTGTTAGTTTAAGAATCAACCAATGAGATGTTCATGACAAATTGTTTTATGAAATACTAGCTACTTATAAGTAGTATTATTTTTCCCAGTGGGGCTAATCCATGTCGGGTAGAGACAGGTATCTACCTCAGTACAATGGAAGATGGACGCGAAATTTCGTGGATTGGTTGATGTTAGACACTATCACCACTGGATGCCGGCTCAGCGCACTGCTGAGGAATCCCACAATAGGACGAAACGCCCGTCTCGTGCTTCCAGGTTTCCAAAAGGTGGTCTAACATCAATCGGTTCATGATCTCAATCAAATAAAAGTTTGAATTATATGTATATGTTAATATAATTCTCACTATTATCTGTTTATAATGCGTTTTTCTTAATTCTTTATAGATATGGAAAATGTTACAGATCCGATTGATTTAACTATATGTCGTTTACTTATTATACCACTGACTAGTGATCATGAAATATGGTTTGCTACTCGTTCTGGTCTTATTGCTCGTTTACATTTGGATTACTCCAGTAATCATTTATTGGCTTTTTATTTATCGATGAATCATGTTAACAGAGTTGAATAATTAATAAAATTATTAAGCGAGCAAAAACACAACTATTCATGCCTGTTCTATGAGTAGTTAGTCGTTTATTAAATGATTAATGGCGTTTGGCAGGAAACCCTATATGGATTTGGTTTTCCTGGCTGTCATCAGCAAAGTATATCTGCTACCTTAAAGGAACTGGTGCTGTTTTTATGAATAACACATGAGTTGACTAGCTTCACAACCTGAGACTGTATCGTTAAATTATTCTGGCCTTCTTTAGGACTGGGGTATTTACAATTGGTTGTGTAGTGACTAGGGTCATACTTTCCTAGTCTTCGTCATATTGCAACTTAATTGTTTACTTTAGTACACTCGATATACTAAGTTGCATTAGCGAACTGATAGTAGTATGCTTGACGTCATAAGGATTTTATAACAAAATAAAATTTCAAATTTTATTATGACTACAAACCTATCTAGGTTATAAAGCCATTAGAAAGCTAGGAGAACTAAACGCTCGTTGCGTCTTAGTGATACACACCTATGACCAACAATCGGGAACTGAATCAAGGCCACCATTCCTATGCTTTGACATTTAACCTGTAGAACTCTGAATGGGGATCCATTGGTGCAAAAATCTGAATTCACTCTATCTAGAATATTACATGACTACTTTCCACTATCTTCAGCGACTATTTTTGTCACACTCAACTTGGTTGAACTCCATAGATTTTCACCAGAATTTCGGAAATGTCTTTTCTATGTTTGTCATTCTTGAAATCTATCAAGGTGCATGTTGTAATATTTCTCAACTTTATATGAATAAATGAACGAATGTCAAAATTTTGTATTGATCCGATTTTTGTTCTACAACTATTTATTGTCGAATGCTTATTCTTGAACAGACATTATGTTTTAAAGCTAGAATAGGTTCCAGTGGTGCTTTAGTGACCCGGGATCTGACTCCAAATAGATTGTATGATTGATCATAATTCCTCGTTTATCTCGTCGACTTAAATCGCATTAGTGAATAACAGAATTAAATAAATCAAAGACGAGAATGGATTTCGAATACGTATATTTTGTACAACCATTGGCCTGGACAGACATTCAGAGGAACGAAGCGAAATGACGAGGAGTAAATACGCGTGAACCAACTTCATTTAATCAAGTCGTTAATCTATATTTATAGCCAGATAAAAATAAGCTACAGACATGTAATGTATAGAATAAGAAGTGTACAAACATATGCGCTCATAGAAAAACAGTCAACGTTGATAAGTGAATAATTAACAAATTCAAAGCGCGTGGCTCAGGAAGAATGAATAAGTTGGCCTGTCCATAAACTAGAATATGGTATCTGGGCTTAACATAATAACTGACACTACAATGTAACTTTACAAAGAATTGAAATCTAGTTTTTTTTAAATACGATATTGTGCTAAATCTGAGATAAACCATTGTTTACTTGCGCAACTTTACTAATCAGTCTTGACAACTTCATTTTATTACTTCATGTAGAAGTTGGCTTTTCATTTATTTCATCACAAGGGTTATATCAGTACATTTTATTCGTGATTAGTTATTTTTCATATTTAAAAATACTAGTGAAATTAAAACAAACACACAATCTGTATTCATGCCCATTATATAATTAGTGCGAGTCAATTGTTTTACCTTTAAAAGTTTAGAAGTTTGTCTCTTGGATATTGATGATTCAGTTATTTTGAATAGCCAGTTACTATGGTATGATATTTAAGTCTAAACTAATAAATTTTCTTTCATAATTTTATAATTATGTAGAGTATAAACATTCATCAAATGAGGTTGAATTGTCCAAAACTTCTTCAATAACAATCAGTTGTCATGGTTATCGACGTCCTGTATGCAATTTACTATTAATTCATCAAAGTATGTACTACTTACACTGTTTAATGAAAATAATGATCAATATTATTTTGATTTTTACTAAAACAACAAATATTGATCCTTTGAAATTTGATCATAACTGCTGCCTAGGCGTTTCACGTCGGGTTAAAGCTTGTCTTGATGACTTAATCGAGTTATATTGACCGGGACACTCGTTTTTTTTAGGTCCTTCCATGATAGGTAGATCAGTTAGAAGGGGGAAGGATTAAAAGCAGTAAATGTAGAATCTAAGCGCTCAGTTGTGCAGAACTGTAACAACAATAGTTTGTTTCTCTGAGACAAGTATTCATAAAGGATAGAGATAATTAGAAAAGCTCATGGATTGACTTAACACACCTTACTTCATCTTATTTATTTTCGTATCTGTCAGCAATAACTCGGAAGTATAAAACACATATATCGAAAGTGACAAAGTGAACGTGTGTAACTGGCCCTTCTCATGTTAGAATATTCATAGCCCACTTTCCTTCTCAGTCACTTAAAGATTAAGTACTCCTTTATGATGTGAGTAATCCGGGGGTAAGAACCATCTACTTACCTCTAATGAAACTTGAAATTTCGTTGTTTATGAAACCTAGTAATGTTTTGTGATACTATTGTTCTTGTTCAGCCCCTAGATAGATGTACTTTTGTTAAAGAGCAAGATGTTGAATCGTTGCAATACAATTAATTCACTAGTTACAAGTTTATTTATCTAACTATGAGCTTCAGTGTTTGTCTGTGTAATATTGAGTAGCTCTAGTTGGCTACTCAATTCGATGTAGTGAGGTTAAAAACTTATTGATTGAAAGATTAGGTTAAACAATCGAGAGTATCTTCTTAACTGTTTAAATATTTTCTTGTTTTCAATATTCAAATCATTTTCAAGTTTGTCAAAAAGCAATTAACAATGAAGACTTGAGTTATTTAATTGTATCAGTTGGACATGATTATGTTGATCTGAGACAATTTCAAGAACAATATGAACAAAAAGATGAACAACAAACTCATCTTCCAGTTGATCAAAGTAATTCTTTTATGAAGTTTATTTTTTTCAATTTTGTAACGTTGTATTAATGTACTTTTAATTTGCTGGCTTAAAATTCTTTATATCATTTTCAATGTTCAATAACTGTACTTTTCTGTATCCAGGACTTTCTGCCAATTTGTTCATATTGTGAGTGAATGTAGCATGTCTGAATTTACTCGTAGTTGCCTATTATGAATAAGTTAGTATATCTTAAGCCAATATGTATGATGAAACAAAAAAATCCCAGTGAAATTCATTACTTGAAATGAAGTCTGTCATTGAAATTACACTTTATTGTGCAACATTTGTCTACTAAATTAGCGAAAATATGTCCAGTGGTTCGGGATACAATAAACTCATTGTGAACCATCTTTGTTGAGCTATGCGCATCCTTCGCAAGCTCTTATGCTATTTGAAACTTTTCTGTTGGATGTACCTGTACCCTAACTTTAATGTTCACATTGCGATTCGAAACCATCGCCCTTCGCTTCAAAGTCCCAACTCATTATCCACAGAGCTATTAAGTCCAGATAGTCACTTATGTGCTTAACGAGTATGAGGGTGTTTGAAATGGAATGCACTGGGTATGTATTTCAATATGAATATCAACTCTGAAATTCATTACATCTCACTGATGAATCCCAGACAGGACGAAACGGTCGATTTCTATTACACATTTAGGCGCACGCCAAATATAATGACACTTTAGATAAATCTAACTCATTGAGACTTCGAATCACCATAATTATTATCAGAGTTTTGGGTGGTATGTACTACACAAAGACTATTACTGCATTAAAAAAACTGCTCATTCGACGAATCACATAAATATTCACGGGAAACAAAATAGAACAGCAAATTCTGTATATTACAGTTGATTTCATGGATAATGACTATCCTTAATGGTTTACTGAAGGAAATGGTATGAACGTCACTAATATACTAAATAAGATACTACATAGACTTAAATGCAACGGTGATGACTTCGACAAAATCATAAGAAGTAAAGCTGCTAAATAACCACACCAAACACTATACGTAACACCTCTACAGACATTTTAAACTATCTTCTGCATGTTGCCCATCCCTTGGAGAGAACACGTTACTTTGATTGATCAATATATACATGTTCTCTTGTTCTTGTGCAGTTAGGTAGGTAGGTATACAAGTGGCTTATCGAGAAACATTTCTTTTTACGTCATAAAGTATCATTCAACATGAGTCAGTAAAGGATAATGTGTAACTATGACTTATTTCATAACTACATCTGATCAGACTGATAGTTTATAGTTTTATAGTTTTGTTTCTAACCAATCTATCTTGTTAACCAAACATCATTTCTTATTTATTTTCTATATTTATACAGTTTCTAGCATGAGGATTCATGTTAATCGTTCACGTCAAATGGGTTCAGGTGCTCATGCTATTGTTTGGAGACTAACCGATTTATCCCATTAAATTATCTAAATAATCATTGTTCAGAACAACATATATAAGCGAACAATATTGTTTTCGATTAGATCTTCATCAGGCTTTACTCTAATATACAGTAATGTATTTATATGCAAATACGAAATTATTAAACCAATCAAGGTAGTTTATGAGTCAATGATAACTATGGAAACGATTACATAATAAGTGAAAAGTATAAATTGATAGTGTGATAACAAGTGCACCGGTTATCATAAACTACCTTGATTGTTTTAATAATTTCATATATGCATATAAATACATTACTGAATATTAGAAGTAAAGCCTGATGAGGATCTAATCGAAAACAATATTGTTCGCTTCTATATGTTGTTCTAAATTTACAATATGGGAATATTTCAAATTATCATTGTTCTCAATTTATCTTGATCAAAACACTTTCTTTATCTCTCAGCTTTATACTACTTAAAAAACTAAAGAGTAGTTTAACGTACTTTATGGGATAATTTCTCGTAACGACAATATAATTGATACAAATATATTTTTCTGTTCATTCTAATTCTATTTACTATCATGATAGTAAATCTTCTCAATACATTCAAATAAAACATTTTAACATTGAGTATTCACGAACTTACACTATCTAAAGTATATTCATCTGTTGTGCATAGATTATTTCCTATCACTTTGTCTATTACTAATCAGATTAGTACTGATTTGACTTAAATACCAATTGTCATTGATAAATCAATTTGATAAAACAACTTAATATTTGTGATAAAAGAGCACAGTTTCAATGAAGGATCTCTTTATGTCTTTCTTTTATTATTATTATTGATGTCGATATATCTTCAACCGTTATCATCTCCGTTGTTGTTGTTGTCGTCATTGTTGCCATCGTTGTTGTGCAATAATTTATTTATTTGTTCTTCTCTCTATCTCTGCATTTAAACATATGCTTTTCTTGTTTTTGCTAATTATAATTTTCTTTCAACATTATTTTTTTTTGATGAGTTCAATATTCAAATGAGTGATATTTTGTCGTTTGTACTTTTTTTATTTATTGAAAAAAGCATTTAATTTGTAAAACTCAGCTACGAAGTAAAACAGATTAGTGTTCATCTAGTTCTTGTCGCTAATCGACATATCAATTAAATTAGAACATGGATTCTTAGTTATGTAACCGTTGTTGCTACCTTGATGTGGTGGTCGGGCTTGCCTATTGTGACGAACCAATCAAGCTATATTAGCTGGAACAATCGTTCTCCAGGGTCCTACCATGCCAGAGAACGGTAAGATTAAAAGCAGCACACCAAAGGTCTGATGGCGAAGTCGTAATTCTGACTGTACAGAGGTATGACAGCAGTAAGGTGTTTCCTTCAGAAAACCAGCATGACAGTGATGCTGTCTTCCCACAAGGAGGGGTGGGGTTAGAAAAGGTCGACCCATAAATGCAAAAAACGCCTTATCCCGCGGATATCCGTCCTCGGCGATAAGGTCTCAACAAGTACGAAGCAAACACAAGAATTACTCATAGAAAGGTCGCGTGTGACCGACCTCAGGTCTTTAAGTTCACATTTAATCCAATTTCCTTTTCCGGTGCCTCCGGAAGGAATCTTCCACGGTGTGGGCAACCGGGAAGTGATAACCGCCCTCATACTTCCAACAGCACTCGAGACCATTATATTCATAATCAACCTCTTTTTTAGTTCTTATTATTCCTCCCACATCGACTTTCAACTCTAAACTTCCTCTTTTTGCTTCCTTCTCAAGTGTCACCATAGCCAACGATTCTAGTGCGCAAATCACTGTCCCAGGTCTACTGAAACCTGGCTCCAAACTACACATTGGAGTCTTCAACGTACGCACCTTATGTCAAATCGCTCAGCAGGCCTCCTTGGCTAGAACCCTAGAATCTCGTACCATTGATGTATGCTGTGTCTCCGAAACACGCATACAGGATCCTAGTGTGGTTATTCACTTGACCTCACCACGGCAAAAGGGAGAGTCCTCCGTGTATCTGACTACCCGATGGCTAGTTCTCGTGGATTGGCAGGTGTACGCATAGCACTAAATACGAGGACGCAACAAGCACTATTAGAGTTGATCCCCGTTAACAGTCGTCTATGTGCTGTTCGGCTGAACGGCTCCGTATGATTGTGGTAGGATAGGGACACATGTCGTTGCCTTTTTGTCGTTTCTGCCTACGCTCCCACCGACTGCAGCTCAGATGAAATGAAAGATGAATTTTACAGAAAGCTATCTGAACTTCTTCAGAAAGCTAAACGTTCAGACATAGTACTCGTAGGCGGTGACTTTAATGCCCAGATAGGTAGTTTAAACCAAACAGAAAGGCATTTAGGTGAATATTTTAGTATTCCGGCACAACGAATATATAATGGTGATCGTCTGTTGCAACTGTGCTCAGACAATCGTTTATTTTTAGCAAACACAAATTTTAAGCATAAGGAGATACATCGTCTAACATGGCGACCCCCTACACCAAAACAACGATAGAATCAAATAGACCATATTGCCATCAGTCATCGTTGGAGAGGGTCGATAGAAGATTGCCGCTCATTCTGGAATACCCGCTTGGACTCCGACCATGTTCTAATGCGAGCACACATCTGCTTCCGCCTCACTGGATGCAGAAAAGCCATACCAAAAAGATCCATTAAAATTGAATTGAGTAATGAGAAAACCAAAAGTAGGTTTCAGGAACAACTGAGGTCATACTTAGGTATTCCTGGAAACAAGGCTGACCCAGACGTTGTTTGGAAAGTTATACAAATAGCTGTAGAAACAGCAGTGACATCTATTAGTAACTTAAACCAAAAAGTTACGAAAAAGTCAATGGATTGCTACTAAGTCTATTGCACTGATGGGTTCTCGTAAACTCATCCCATCAGGCTCTGAACACGATGAAGAGCGACAACAAATCAGATCTAGGTTAAGCAAGAGTCTAAGGAACGACCGTGAGCAGTGGTGAGCAACGAAAGCAAAAGAGATGGAAAAGGCGGCGGCTGTAGGTAGCACACGACAGCTCTACAGACTGATAAAAGAAACGAATTAAGAAGTCAAGTGTGAGACTATTTTGGAAAGAGACGACACTTATCTACTCCAAGTCCAGACGTTTAGAACGATGGGTGGAATATTTTAAGGAGCAATTCAACTGGCCTTCAGTTACTCAACAACTACCTACTATTCCCAGAGAGCGTGAATGGGACATTGAAGTAGGTCTCTCAACGCTAGCTGAAGTTCAGAAAGCTATAGCTAATCTGAAACGAGGATGAGCAGCTGGTTCAGATGCCCTTAAGAATGGTGGTCTAGTTTTAGCGATTAGGTTAACTAATATTTTATCTAAAATCTGGGAGTTAGACGTAATTTCATCTGATTTGTCGTAATCACTAATTTGTCCGATATATAAGAAAGGGTCAAAATCATCCTGTGATAACCGTAGAGGGGTTAGTTTGACTAACATAGCATCTTAAATACTGGCTTCAATAATTATCGGACGCCTAACTAAGGCTCGTGAACTGCAAACACGTGAAAATCAGGCTGGCTTCAAACCTGGTCGTGACTGCATCGACCACATGTTCACCATTCGTCAGGTTCTAGAACACATGCATGCTTACCGGCGTCCGACAATGATGGTATTTCTTGACTTAAAAGCAGCATTTGACTCGGTAGACCGCGAGACTCTGTGGCATTGTCTGTCGTTGAAAGGTATACCTCAGAAATACATAAAACTTATGAGGGCTTTTTACTCGAACACTACTAGTCGAGTCAGAGCTTATGGCGAATTGTCATCTGCTTTTGCAACCTCAAGTGGTGTCCGTCAAGGTCGTCCACTTTCTCCATTTTTGTTTAACGTCGTCACAGACCTAATGATGCAAATAACGCTCTCACCGACTGAATTTTCGGGTATTGTTCTCCAAAAAGGAGGTTCACTTATCGAATTAAAATACGCAGATGATATAGTCCTGTTTGGTGAAGACGCTGATAAAATGCACAGTCTTTTGATAGCACTATGCAATAATACCAGAATGTTTGGAATGCGTTTCTCTCTCTCTCTCCCTCTCTCTCTCTAAATGCAAGTTGTTGCTTCAGGACTGGTCTGCGTCAACACCTGAACTAAGGAGACGGAGTGAAGTAGTCGAACGCGTTGACAACTTCATTTATCTTGGAACGCTGATCAACCCTAATGGGTTGGTGTCTAACGAAATCTCAGCACGGATTCGAAAAGCTCGTCTGGCTTTCGACAACTTACGTGACCTATGACGAAGGCGAGATGTCCGTCTATCAATTAAAGGACGAGTATACTGCGCGGAAGTCCGTTTTGTTTTAATTTACGACTGCGAAGCGTGTCAATTAGTAGTAGAAAATATTCGTAAGCTACTAGTATTTGGCCACAGATGTCTTAGAAATATTGCTTGGATTGGCTGGGATCACCGGGTAAGTAAAAGTGAGGTTAGACGATGAGCATTAGGGAATGATGTAAATCAGTTGATGAGGTTGTGAATCTTCATCGACTGAGACCGTTGAGCCGCGTGTTACGTATGCTTGAACACCGATTACCATAACACGCAATGCTGACTAGTATTGGGGATGGTTGTAAGCAAGTTAGAGGCGGCCAAACCGAAACATGGCATCAATCGTTGAAGTCACTAACTTCTAGTCTGACTCATGTTGGTAGATGGAGACTACTTGGTTGGGGTCCAGGTGACTATGGTAACGAATGGTTGGAGAGTGTTGGTGACATGGTTGAGAATCGATCACAATGGTGTAGGTGTATACACACTCTGTTTATGAAACCAGTGTTCATCATTTTGTGCTAATGCGGTATGGCAACTTTGACCAACGCATATATGTGCGTGGCGGGATCATGGGTGCGCACTGCTGAAGATTCACATACCAGGATGAAACGGCTGTCCAGTGGTTCCAGGTTTTCCATAGTGGTCTAGCTTTAATTGACTCAATTGGTCTCACCTGATGAAATTATTAAAAACAATCTTTGAAACAATTTGTCATTAGATAACAATTAGTTGTTTGCTTAATCAGACCAGTAGAGATAGTCTAATATTTATTAGATGAGTTCGATATTTCCCTACCCTTATTATTATTGTGATTGTTGTCGGTTTTTGGTGTTAAAATTTACTTATGTTCTAGTTCGGCCAATCAAGTGTTCTTGATCTGAATTGTATTGAAGTCCTGTAGAGTAGACACTGGAATGGTATCTAGTATAGATATATGTGTAAGGCAATTTAGCGTCCCATTCATGTATATGAGGAATACAGATCGTTATCCATCTTATAATTCTATTCATCCTAATAATGTTCGATTTAAACTGATTAATTAAATGTAAACGTCTCACCAATATTGACTTCTTTTTACTTAATTTATGACTGAAAATCAGATCAGCTTCATCTTCTCATCTCACTCTCGAAATATTCTACTGACTAGAGTTTTAGCTGTTATATGAACTTTGGTTATGAAACTTCGTCTTTTGCTGGAATCCACCATGAATCATAACATCAAATAAGTCCTTTTTTTTCTTATTTCTATCATTCTTAGAAATCATCATGTTTGTCAAAGAGTGTCATTTAATCTCAATAACATACTTCAATATTACTTGATTCGTATTCCCGCTGAGTACAATCAATTTCTGGACGATATCTAAAGATAGATAGATCAATAAACATTTCACTTGTCTTAAATATCACGTAAGTTAGTAAACCTACTTATTTTATAAATTCAATCAATTCTAACTTTGCCTTACAATAAATCAAAATTAATGTACCATATTCTTGTTTATCATATGAATAACTTTTTAATTTCGTTCGGTTAGGGTGTTGTTTACGAAATTTAGAGGACAAAAAGCGAATGTTCTGCGCTTTAACCAGGTTGGTAGACACGGAGAGTTCACCTAGGGGAGTTGGGAAACCTTAATTACAAACCAATGGCACACTTAGGCTCCAGTATCCTGAGTGTACAAATGACGTATGAACCAATCGTTGATCACTGGTTACATTGAGACTGCATTTTCTGAGGTTGCTACATTGCCTTGTGGATTAGAGCTTTAGGTTGAAGACTCCGGGTTAGACCCCTTAAGTAGACTAACTGCTTCTGCTTTTGGGCCCTCGAACAGTATCACAGCTCACATACAAATCAACTGACTTGTATGGTGCACATATATATTCGATATATTTTACACTGAAATTATCATTCAAATGAGATAAAACTTGAAACTGATTCAAGGTATCATCACTTTCAAATGACAAGATGCATTAGCAACTATTATTATTGTTAGTTTTTATCGTCATAGATAACATAAAATGAATGTGTAACAATAAATGGGTAATCATGCGCGCGCGCACACACACACACACACACGCACAAGCACACTGATAGTTATACTCATGCTTTTAATAAAATGTAATATATATATATAATGTGTATATGTATGTATATAAAAATAAACTTATCATCGTATCTGTGTTTAATGTTTACTGTTAAAGAGTCAATAGAAAGTGTCATTGAACTTTGAATACTAAACAATAAGATGAATATTCTTATTACATTATCATCATTTCAAATTTTATCTAAATTTTCAAAATTGAAAATATTCAAATTGGTTGATAGATTATTCTGTGGAATTGTTGTTGAAGGACTAAAATAATAAAAAAAATATCATAGAAAAAGAAGGTTTGTTTAACAATCATAGTAATATATAAAGGTTTATCAGAACTTAGTAACTAAGTGAATAACGTGATGATACTGGGTTCAAGTCTCAGAGTGACTATCAACTCTGATATGCAGATAGGTTCAGCTGACGAGTCCCAAAATAGGATGAAATGCACGTCCTGGATTCTACTGCTAGCCACTATCTATATTTGCTTAAAAAAATTAGTTTATGATCTGATATTTAGATTTATAAGCTTTATAGTTATTACATACATTATGCTGGAAATTAACTAGAATATAAGAGATTAAGATAACTCCTATCATTACTAGATTTACGACTTATGATATCTATTCGTAGTGTAAAGTTTTCTCATTGACAGGAACAAATCAACTAATCTAATTAGTTGGATTCACGGGTCGATTAAAGCTAGACCACCATGTAGAGTCTAGAAGCGCTGGATGGCCGTTTCATCCTAGTATGGGACTTCTCAGTAGTAGTCCGCATCTACGATCCCACTCGCTGGTTTTGGGTAGAGGAACTTTGGTTCCTCGGGCGAATGTTTAACCTCTAAACCACTGAGCTAGCCGGTAACCAACGTTGTTAATGTCTACGTTTAACCAATCCAGGATATTGCGCGACCGTCCACCATTGTCTTCAGTGGCCTCAACAGCAGATACGGTTGAACTCCACTGATCACGGCTTCTCACTAGAACTCCAAGAAATACCCCATGTAGGTCCTGAGTTCGAGTCCCGCTAGCGGGATCGTGGATGATCACTATCATTGAATAGTCCCATACTAGGACGAAACGACCATCTAGTGCTTCCAGGTATTCCATGGTGGTTTAGCTTTATTCAACTCATCAATTTAACCACTAAAAATCAGTACATTATTAACAAAACCCCATTCTGGTAATAATCCAATTAGGATCTAAAAATTAAAGCAATTCATTTCCATTGTAAATGATCATCTTTGTTTAAACAAATCAGATATGCCAATAAGAGATTTATCAGTCCCAAACATCAATGGGAAAACACATGTAAACAATACCAAGTAAATTTAATTATTTTCTACCATTAAATTTTTATTTATTTATTTAAAAATGTACCAAGAGACTGGAAAGAAGGACACCTGATCAAGATACCAAAGAAAGGCGATCTCAGCAAGTGTGATAACTACAGAGGCATCACTCTTCTCTCAATACCAGCAAAAGTCTTCAACAGCGTATTGTTAAACAGAATGAAGGACGCCGTAGACGCCCAACTGTGAGACCAACAGGCTGGATTCCATAAGGATCGATCGTGTACAGATCAAATTGCAACACTACGGATCATTGTGGAACAATCAGTTGAATGGAGTTAATGACTCTACATCAACTTCATTGACCACAAGAAAGCTTTAACATTAACACCCGTCTACGCAAAATACTTCAGATCCGTTGGTCAGACACTATCAGCACTAACCTACTATGGGAGAGAACAGATCAGATCCCAGCGGAGGAAGAAATCAGGAAGAAGCGCTGGAGGTGGATAAAACACGCATTGAGAAAAGCACCGAACTGCATCACAGGGCAGGCCCTCATATGGAGTCCTGAGAGCCAAAGGAGAAGAGGAAGACCAAAGAACACATTAAGTCGAAAAATGGAGACAGACATGAGAATAATGAACAACAATTGTATAGAACTGGAAAGGAAGTCTAAGGATAGAGTGATTTGTTGAATGGTGATTGGTGGCCTATTCTCCATTGTGAGTAACAGGCGTAAGGAAGTAAAGTAAAGTAAGTAAGTAAGTAAGTAACATAACGCTGAGAATGAGTAGAAAGAACATTTCAACAGAAAAGCCAACAATGTTATTTGAATGTAAATACAAGGATGACCATTAAATTATAACTTACATCATAGAATTCTGTGGTAAACTTCCTGATGCATTGGTTAACATGTTGGTTATAACTGGAGATTTAGGAATTTGCATGTTTGTTGTTAACATTTGACTGAAATCATATAACAAAAGTTATTATATTATCATCTTAAAATTTTGAATGATAATTCTACTAACTATTACCATCAAAAAAATACAAGTATATATAAGCAATTGTCTACATAATATACTCGATGTCTGTTGGTCAGATAGAATCAGCAACCATCTACTGTGAGAATGGAATAAACCAACTTCCAGTTGAAGAGGAAATTAGGTAAATACGTTGGAAGTGAATAGGATATACATTGAGAAAATCATCATACTGCATCACGAGGCAATGCTAATATGGAATCCTGAAGGGAAACGAAAAATAGGAAGACTGAAGAATGCACGGCATCGAGAATCGGAAGCAGATATGAAAAGAAATGAATAGCAAGTGGAAAGAACTGGTAAGGAATGTCCAGGATGGAGTAGGATGTAGAATGTTGGTGAGCGACATATGCTCCTCCATAAAAGGTAACAGGCGTAAGTAAGTATCCTACGAAATTACTGATGAGTACTTGAAGTTGTTTACATAATAATCTCTTTGTACATGCATGTTGGTATTTTATTAAATAACATAACTTATAGTTTTGGTAGTGTTGAATTCTTAGAGCTAAATAGTTGATTTCTTGAGCTTTCATTGTAACTCTGGAGAATATGATAATCGTCTAGTTCATATAGAAGTAAATACTATTTCAGATAGAATGATATTAACAATCGTTCCATTCTCATCAACAGCTAAATAGTTTCTGTTGTTCAACTAGGGAAAATCATTAGAAACCATTTCAATAATAAGAGTAAGATGTTTGAATTGTCTTAAGAGTACACTAAGTACCTTAATGTATACACATATTTCAATGGAATATATTCAAATTTACTAGTTAAAGTAACAAGTTATTTAGTGAATAAGAACACAAATGGGGACAATTGAATGTAATTTGAATACAAAACTACAGAATCTCCTTAGTACAATCTGAGAATCATACAATGAATACTTCATTTGTAAAATGTCAATCAATCGTCTCTGAATTGAGTGTTCCTTCATTTTCACATCAATCATTCTCTGTGCTTATTCTCTTTTCTTCGATCTTCTTAACCTTCTGTCACCAGGTATTTCATTTTCGGTCGACGTTACATACTACTTATATCTGTCGACATCAGTAGCACACTACAGTTGAATTCCAGTTATAAAAGGAATTACAGATTTTTTTAATAAAAAAACAGAAAACTAATTTTATTGATTACCTAATAGATGTAAGTTTAGGAGTTGATCCAAATAATCATATACACGAAAAGTGTTTTGTTTTAATTTAAGAAGTAGGTAGGTTTAAGATCATCTTAACTGATAGCTGCCAGCTGTACAAAAGTGATTTATATATGTATAACTAATCAAGAAGCATTTGAACATTCTAATAAGTCTTACAGAAGAGAATACCACGATTAGAAGTAAATTAGATAGGGGGAAAGGTGAGGTTTATTGAATAACCCTTCTGGGGCTACTGCCGGTCTCAAGCCCGGATAAAGGAGGAGGGTTGTGCATGGGGTTAGCGACCCCATCCCGTAGAACAATAATCAGAAAAAATAATTCAAACCATTTAAATTGTGCCCTGAGAGTTAGAAAGTCTTCATTTAGAAGAGTTATGACACCTCTTGGTGAAAGCCGAGTTCGTTTAGAAGTCATGAAGTTGATGCCCCTTCTGACAACTAGAGTAACAATTAATTGAAGTAAGTATTGATAATAAAGTCATCAATGGAAGTGTAAAGAAACAACTGACCAATTCTCTTTGAGAAATAAAAAGAAGAACGATAGTTGATTAGATTTCTCTAGATATCGTATCATTATTCATGAATTTATCGTTAGTCTAAACAGTCTAATTTATATCCAAACAAATAGCAATAAAAAAATCTCAGCACTAACCACAACGAAATCAATCTTAAACAGTTACTGTTAAGGTAAACGGTAAATGGTCATTTTGTCTTGCATAATACCTATTCTATACAAGTTTATGGAATAGTAATATGGTTTACCATCAAGCTCAATGTTAGTTGATTTCTTTCTAGAGAGATCAGAAAATGGATCCCTCAAAAAAGTTGTCAATGATCTAAATTTCTTCTGAATTGCAGTAATAACACATTTATCATTATGGATCAATATGTTATTAAAGTGTTAAAGCAGTTGAACAGTGTACATTCAATAGTCACTTTCGTTTGTGGGAACGAATGTAACAATCAACTAAACCTTCTTGATGTATTATAAAAGTAAACGGCGAGATGATTCTTTATGTTCATTTACTTAATTACTTACGCCTGTTACTCCTAATGGAGCATAGGCCGCCGACCAGCATTCTCCAACCCACTCCGTCCTGGGCCATCTTTTCTAGTTCCATCCAATTCTTGTCCATTTTCCTCATGTCTATCTCCATTTCCCGGCGTAATGTGTTCTTTGGTCTTCCTCTTTTCCTTTGGCCTTGAGGATCCCATGTGAGGGCTTGTCTTGTGACGCAGTTGGGTTATACTCATTTAACAACCATCAATTATGCTCATAAAATCTATACTCGTTTAAACATTGGATCTATGGTATGCTTTATTGAAGAGTCTCAAATTACATCAAAACACTTGTCTAGTATTCCGTGATTTATATGAACATACCTAATAATCCGGTAAGTCAGCCTAATTGGATTTGCATAGTTTATAAATCACCATTAAGAAAGAACCTACAGTTATTACTCGCTCTTACAAGATTCCAAAACACTGCGTATCCACGAAGTCCCCGAGGCTGAAATTCAGGACCATGAGTTCTGTCCGTCAGCGCTTAATTACAAAAGCACTGAGTAGGAATCCAATCAAATCATGATATTACGTGAACGTTTTCCATCGACTATCTTAGATAACTGTCCCATACTCGACATCGTTGAACTTCATTGATAAGAGATTATTACTAGAGCTCTAGGAATTGTATCTTGAGACAAGTGAGCACATGATTGATATTAGATAGTTGGTTAAGACTGAAGGATACGTATAGTTTAAATCACATACTGAACTTAGCTAGAAAATGGAAAACACGTAACAGATGTTTGTTCCCAGTATACGCTGATTTGTTGTTGTGGATGCGTATTTTAGAGGAGGTACATACCAGAAAGCGAGCGCTTTCCAGAGGCAACTAGTTCTCAGCGGTGGTCAAGAAAATATTATTCAGACTGTAAAATATTCACAAACTCTGAGTTCTAGAAATATTAGTATGACATTAATTGTATATTTGCTATGGAGCGTTGGCTTACAAGTATACTCAATCAAACTCTCATTATTAAAATATAAACATCATTGCTTAAATGATCAATTACATAAAAGTATGTCGATCCGTGAAAGTAATGTATAGCAAATTCGTCTGTGAAAAAGAGAAATCCAAAAATAAATAAGGAATCTCACTTACGCTGCAGGGACTGCTGTTGCCAATCTTGACATATCACTAGGCATCATCTTATTCATTGAGGTGAGAGGCAGTGTTGACCCTACCAATCCAGCTGGCCTACAAACGGAAATCCAAATAACCAGTCTCACATAAGTACACTGATTCCAAACCAACAAACACAACATGCATCTTATTACTCCAGCAATGAATGAATCCGAGTTAATAGTTACTGTCACACAATGTCACCATATGGAATCTGCTGTGCGTGCATGTGTGAGTGTACGTGCTTATGTATATATGTATGTATGTGTGTGTTGGCGCCAACTTGACTTGGTGAATTGACATAGATATAATCTCAGTGCAATTGTTAATATGTATGTAAACTGCGAATCGGTAATTCGTTATGTTAAAACTGTGACACACCCAATACGCATACGTTCGTGTTCATACTGCTCTCAGGTATTCACATGTGATCATTTCATCTCTCCATACTGCCATGCTCAATGTCTCGCCAAACGATCGATCCAATCCATTATGAATTGTGGATCCGATAACATCACAACACAGGTACCACGGTTTCCAAGGTCACTTACAGCCTCATCAGCCTCAACCAATCCACTCGTCAACTGATGTCAATCAACATGCATACACGCATTCGTGTTTCCATTCATCCGGATCCTCACTTCCAAACACACACACACAAACAAACAACCACTAACACCAACAGCACCACCCTCACCATCGTCGTCACCAATTACTCATTCATACGCTGATCTACAAATCAGTGGAACAGAAAACTGGCCACTGACTCACAATATTCGAAACCACCCAACAGCACAGTCGGATTCAACGCCAAATTACTCAGCTCTTACAAACATCTATTATTCATCATTAGATTCCATTAGACAACCTTACTTTTTACAACAGTAATCATGTTAATTATTACAACCATACATTGCGATCCGTCTTCAGTAAAGCGTGAGGTTTTCAGAAAAAACCAAAGTGTGTTAGAAAACAACCATGTGAGTGTTACATGTGTAAGGCATCAAAAATGGGAGCATGACTCACGATGCAGGGACTGCTGTTGCCAATCTTGACATATCACTAGGCATCATCTTATTCATTGAGGTGAGAGGCAGTGTTGACCCTACCAATCCAGCTGGCCTACAAACGGAAATCCAAATAACCAGTCTCATATCATATTTACTAATCGCTCTTTATTTACCCATGTTCGACTTACCGTTCGATACTTTATTTATCTTTCAATCAAATGCAAAAGCTATTGTGGTTTTATGCGATCAATACAAGGATTTCTTAAATAAATATCATGATAGACTAATATGATCTATATTCTTTTTTTTCCCATTTGATAGTATTATTATTATCATCTTATTGAAAAATGGTGAATTCTGCTTCTAGTTAACTAAGATGTGCTAAAAAAATGGTGCACGCAATGTCGAGTCACCTAGACTGATGGCCACCTTGCAACCCGGTCGATAGAATCCGATCTGCACTAAGAAGGTCCTGATATACATGACATTGATCACCACTCAGTGATCAATCAATTGTAAATAGTTAACCAAGAGTCTGATTATCCGCCTACCAATTGTATATACGGAAACATTACAATAATCCCGACTTCTCAGTAGTTAAAATTCTAACGACTGATCAAATTCCACTTCTTCATGTTATATATATCGCGCTGCGGGATCGTGGATGCGCACTGGTGAGGAGTCCCACACTGGGATGAAAGGGCCGTTCAGTGCTCACAGGTTTTTCATAGTGGTCTAGCTACCATTGACTCATGAATTCAATTATATATAAACGTATCAGCGTTTTCCAGAGTATTATTATTATTTTGACATTGGTTGTAATGACTAGATGTCATAATAAGCTGGTAACAAGAAAATATGATGGCAATAGTAGAGAAAAATCTAATAACTAAAGGTTATATAACTTACGTTCCAACTATTTTTTGAAGACCACCAGTCATGTTACTTCCTACTGGAGTAAGTGGCATTGGTAAACCTGTTGGTTGAATTGGCCTATTGAAAAATATAAATTGTACAATACGATAATATAATTAATTCTTTTATTAATATCAGAAGGGGTTTTGTGAATCTTATAGTAATTCTAATAGTTGAATTCATAAGTCAATTGAAGCTAGATCACCATGGAAAACCTGGAAGCACTGGACGGCCGTTTCGTCCTACTGTGGTAGTCTTCAGCAGTGCGCACCCACAATCTCGCCGTGATATATATATATATATTAGATGAAGAAGCGGAATTTGACCAGTCGTTTGAATTTTAACTACTGAGAAGTCGAGATTATTGTATTGACGATTTTTAACTAATCACTAAATTATACGCACTAAGTATTATCAGCCATATGAGATTGTGTTCATCAACTGATCTGAAGTAGTTTATTGAATACTATGTAATTCATAGTTTGATATGTTAGCCTATACTGGACATTTAATGTGAATATTTAGTTTACCTAAATCATCTTACCAGCCATCTAAACAATCAAACTATTGATTTAGTGATTGTTATTATCTAGATGTTTATGTTCCTGATATGCCACGTATAACTTCAGTACTCGAGCGCTAGAACCCTCTCAAGTCGCAAACAAGAAAACAGAACACGAGTGAAAGGAATGTTATTCCAAACAGTGTCAGTTATGATAGAAAACTGCCGGGTATTTATAGTTTTTAGTAAAAACAAAGTGATCATTATAGTTATCCAATCCGCACATAGGGGAGTTATTAGCATTGTCCAATAGGGAAGCTAAACGTGGTGATTCTGGAGTATTCTTCCAAAAGATGACTGGATGGAATATCTTCGGCTCTTTCTGAGCTTCTTAGAGCTTCTTCGAGTTCACCCGTGGACCGTCCTCACAGTAATATTCAGTAAAGATGTATTATCCATATAGGTGATATGGGCTTTTAATTGGTATTTTAAATTTGTACTTTTCATTTGTCACAAACTAATCAATTTTGTGCTACTATTGAAAACGAAGGAGCAATAAAAAGCTATTTTATCATATATAAAACCAATTGTTGTCGAGTACTTTCTATTATTCCATGAGTTGGATCTATTATCTTCAGGTTTCTTCTAGAACTCTAAACCAGTGAAATTACTGTGTCATCATCGAAAAGTGCCATTTCGTCTCTAATCATTTTGAGATATATGGTGATGATTATCTAACCCCACTGCCAACAACTGTTTAATTCCCGACATATTTGAGCTTCACAACTCACAATGCCTTTTTAGAGCTTCCAAAGGATATTGAAGTAAGTCACTAGTGAGTAGACTGCTACAATTTATTCAGAGTGTTTAGAGATTTATTTAATTTATTGGTTACATTCGTTACACATTAAGAATTGAATGTTTTGGTCAAGATTCCAACTGGAGTCGATGGTGCCCGTTACGGAAGAGTGTTATATCAGGACGAAACAACTGTTTATTTCTTCCTGACTTACAACACTCTTCCGCCTGAGATGAATCTCTATTAAACTGGTCAGTTCGTTACAATAGGTTAATTATTTAGTATTTGTAATACAATAAACCTGTAAGTCAGGGTCCTGGGTTCGAACCTCGTGAGGCGAATTCGTGGATGCGTACTGACATTGAGGAGTCCAACGAAAGGACGAAATGGCCGTCCAGTGTCCCCAGGTTTTTTGCGGTGGTCTAACTTCAATTTACTCATGATCTCAACTATTGAAATTTAATATGTTTTATGTCTAGATTCATACAGACTCCAATTCTCTATGATTAATTGAAGAGGTTTGTATGCAAAATGAATCTTGTAATTACAGCTCATAACTAATTTGTTATTTGACTGGAGAGCTTCACAAAATATGATCAATTAAATAAGTTTTATTTAAAGAATAAAATTTTAGTGAGAATTACTAACAAATGATCAGAAGGTATTGTTTACTTGAATCTTAGTATTGATGTTTAGGACTGCAATTGATCAGTCTTTTATTGGTATATATGCATACTGTACGTATCAATGAATTGTAACTTACGATGCTGGAATTTGTTGAATGCCGTTAATCGGCATACTACCTCTGAGCGCAGATAAGGGGGTTGCAGTTCCTGTAAGAGGCAATGCACTGCAAAGAAAAACACAGGATATCAAGACAATAGGGACTGAAGAAAAGTGGTAAATATATGAAACAGATATTTAGTATGGACAATTATCTCCTCACCAAACAAAAAACTGACAATCGAATCAATCTATGGAATTAGTGGTTAAAGTAGAATCGTTTGTATTTGTTAAGAGTGAGTAAATAAATATAAAGTGGAACTTAGACAATTGTTCTTTAGTGAGTCAGTCAGTAAATTAGATACAACCTAGGAACAGGCACATTTATGAAACGGTCCAAGTTGGCACACTTCATTAGCACAACAAGATGAACACCGATTCATAGAAGTAGTTAATTCAGAGGTGATAATATATAAAAGAAAGATTGCATATAAGGATATAGAACAGGAAGAAGGAAATAGTTCATAGAAACAAGGATATAAATCAATTTTAATCTCAAAGTTTAAAGGAAGACAACTAGTGTACACATCTATACCATTGTGATCGATTCTCAACCATGTCACACAGAATCTCCAACCATTGGTTACGATTGTCACGTGGACCCCAACCAATTAGTCTTTATCTACTGACATGAGTCAGACTAGAAGTTAGTGACTTGAAGTACTGATTTCGCGTTTTAGTGTGTCCGCGCCTATCTTTCTGCCACATGTCTACCACACTAGTCAGTATTGTGCGTCGTGGTAATCGGTGTTCAAGCATAAGCAACACTTGGCCCAACCATCTCAGTCGATGAATATTTACAACCTCATCAACTGATTTACATCATTCCCTAATACCCTACGTCTAACCTCACTTTTACTTGCCCAGTGATCCCAGCCAATCCGAGCATTATTTCTAAGACATCTGTGGTCAAATACTAGTAGCTTACGAATATTTTCTACTGTTAATGGTCACGTTTCGCAGCCGTATAGTAAAACAGTACGCACTGCCGCGAAGTATACTCATCCCTTAACTGATAGACGGATATCTCGCCTTCGTCATAGGTCACGTAAGTTGTCGAAAGCCAGACGAGCTTTTCGAATCCGTGCTGAGATTTCGTTAGACACCAACCCATTAGGGTTGATCAGCGTTCCAAGATAAATGAAGTTGTCAACGCGTTCGACTACTTCACTCCGTCTCCTTAGTTCAGGTGTTGACGCAGACCAGTCCTGAAGCAACAACTTGCATTTAGAGAGAGAGAGAGAGAAAAACGCATTCCAAACATTCTGGCATTATTGCATAGTGCTATCAAAAGACTGTGCATTTTATCAGCGTCTTCACCAAACAGGACTATATCATCTGCGTATTTTAATTCGATAAGTGAACCTCCTTTTTGGAGAAGAATACCCGAAAATTCAGTCGGTGAGAGCGTTATTTGCATCATTAGGTCTGTGACGACGTTAAACAAAAATGGAGAAAGTGGACAGCCTTGACGGACACCACTTGAGGTTGTCAAAGCAGATGACAATTCGCCATAAGCTCTGACTCGACTAGTAGTGTTCGAGTGAAAAGCCCTCACAAGATTTATGTACTACTGAGGTACACTTTTAGTGAATATATGTGTATACATAAATTATAGTTTGTTAGGATCTGAGGAGAAGCTAATCAAACAATAATGAATTCATGTTGTTTTGACCAAATCTGAATTCTGACTCTCTTCAAAATTCTAAACTTGTCACTTAGTTCTAATTCATCATATATTCTGTTCCATTCCAGTTTATATAATCACAATAGTCTAAATAATACAAGTTACTTGAGGACGATTTTAAGTGTTCTGATCGGTAGTTTTGGGACAAGAAGAATTGTCTTAGGTAATCAAGTATTAACTGGGTTAATGCGATTATAAGTGTTAGGACAGTATACAATATTACAACAAAATTTCCTTACTGCATCTGTGTTAATCCATAAAAAATATGCATTATGTTAATCCATAGAGGAATGTATACTACAAACATGGATCATTCTTCATTAGAAAAAGAAGGTGAAACATAGAATTATTTTGTGTTTCCATAGTAACGAAATGTTTTGACAAAAACTGTGTGACTTACCTTCCAACTCTTTGTGGAAGACCGTCAATCATGTTACTCGATGTTGGAGTAAGTGGCATTGGTAAACCTGTTAGTGGAACTGGCCTGTTGAAAAAAAAATAAATCGTAAATTCATAAAAATATGAATCCAACAATCATGTACTCATTGGTGACTAGTTTCGAGATGAGTTCTAGTGAGAAGCCATGACAAGTGGAGTTCGACCGTGTCATGTGATTTGTGTTGGGGATTAGATTTATGGTTTTCATCACAAACTGACATCAATCATAATGCCGAAATTCTATTTAAATAAATGAAGTGAATGCAGTTTGTGCCAAAATCTGAGACCCGTTACCCTAAATCCGATTGGCTCGTCCATAATCTATAGACTTACCGAAACGTGTAACACTTCAAAGAAAAAAAATCAATGAATTATGACTTACGATGCTGGAATTTGTTGAATGCCGTTAATCGGCATACTACCTCTGAGCGCAGATAAGGGGGCTGCAGTTCCTGTAAGAGGCAATGCACTGCAAAGAAAAACACAGGATATCAAGACAATAGGGACTGAAGAAAAGTGGTAAATATATGAAACAGATATTTAGTATGGACAATTATCTCCTCACCAAACAAAAACTGACAATCGAATCAATCTATGGAATTAGTGGTTAAAGTAGAATCGTTTGTATTTGTTAAGAGTGAGTAAATAAATATAAAGTGGAACTTAGACAATTGCTCTTTAGTGAGTCAGTCAGTCAACTCCATCTGGAGCCCCTCTGGGGCTACTGCCGGTCCCAAGCAAGGATAAAGGAAAATTGTTGCGATGGGGCTACTGACCCCATCCCGTAGAAAACTAACTCGCTTAAAAAACGCCAACGAGAAAATTTATTCAAACCACTTAAACTTTGCCCTGTGAGTCTGAAAGTCTTCATTTAGAAGAATTATGACGCCTCATGATAAAAGCCGAGTTTCTTTGGATGTCACGAGGCGGATGGCTCTTCTTACAACCAGAGCAACCATTTATTTAGGTAGATGGAATACTCGTACAATGTGGGAGATCGGAAAAGTCTTCCAAACTGCTACAGAAATGAGGAGTTACAACCTAGAGGTGCTTGGGATCAGCGAAACACGTTGGACACAAGCTGGACAACAACGACTAGTGTCAGGGGAGCTTCTGTTATTTTTCGGCTATGAAGAAGAAAATGCCCCTCGTACACAAGGAGTTGCATTGGTGCTGTCCAAACAAGCACAAAATGCACTTATAGAAAGGGAATCTCATGGACGAAGGATCATCAAATGCGCTTTCAAAACAAAAAAGGGGGCATTTTAATGAACGTCATCCAATGCTATGCTCCTACAAACGACTACAATGAAGACGCTAAAGATCAATTCTACGATAGGCTGCAGTCAATCGTTGAGAAGTGCCCAACGATGGACTTGACCATTCTGATGGGAGACCTAAATGTCAAGGTTGGAATGGACAACATTGGATATGAAGACATCATGAGACGACATGGACTGATAGAAAGAAACGAAAATGGTGAGAGATTTGCAAACCTATGTGCCTTCAATAAACTGATCATAGGCGGCACCATATTCACATATAAACTCATTCACAAAACCACATGAACTTCACCGGATCACACCACGCAAAACCAAATCGACCATATTTGCATCAACAAAACGTTCAGGAGGATTATGGAGAACGTGAGAACCAAGAGAGGAGCTGATATAGCATCAGATCATCACTTGGTGGTCACCAAGATGAAATTGAAACTCAAGAAACACTGGACAATGAGGCGGATAATATCTCAAAAGTTCAATACGGCCTTTCTTCAGGATACTAACAAACTCAACAAATTCAAGATAGTCCTCAGCAATAAGTTCCATGCCTTTCATGATCTACTCAATGGAGAAGGAACTACTATGGAGAGCAACTGGAAAAGGATCAGAGAATCAGTCACTTCAACATGTCATGAGGTTCTGGGCCACAAGAAGCACTATCACAAGGAATGGATCACTGTTGATACACTGGTTAGGATTCAAGAAAGGAGGGACAAGAAGGCAGCAATCAATACCAGCCGAACAAGAACAGAAAAAGCCAAGGCACAAGCTGAATACACAGAAGTAAACAAGCAAGTGAAGAGGAGCATTAGAACCGACAAACGTAAATATGTGGAGGATCTAGCAATGACGGCGGAAAAGGCTGCAAGGGAAGGAAACATGAGAGAACTGTATGACATAACAAAGAAACTCTCTGAAAATCATCGTAAACCAGGACGACCAGTGAAAAGCAAGGAAGGCAAGGTAATCACCAACATTGAAGAGCAACGAAACAGGTGGGTAGAACACTTCAAAAAACTCTTGAACCGACCAGCTCCACTGAACCCACCCAACATCGAAGTAGCTACCACGGACCTCCCAATCGATGTTGGGATTTGACAGCGTGAACAGGAAAACAATATGGAGGCTTCTTCGACACTACGGCGTGCCTGAGAAAATAACCAATATCATACGGAATTCCTATGATGGATCAAACTGCAGAATAATGCATGGACGACGGTTGACAGACTCGTTCGAAGTAAAGACCGATGTCAGGCAAGGTTGCTTACTACCACCCTTCCTCTTTCTCCCGGTGATCGACTGGATCATGAAGACATCAACATCTGGAGGGAAGCATGGGGTACAGTGGCCATCTAGGATGCAGTTCGACGATCTAGACTTCACAGATGATCTGGTTCTTCTATCGCACACGCAACAACAAGTGCAGGTGAAGAAGACCAGTGTAGCGGCGGCCTCAGCAGCAGTAGGTCTCAATATACACAAAGGGTAAAGCAATATTCTCTGAAACAAAACAGCATATGCCAATCGAATCACACTTGACATAGAAGAGTTGGAAGATGTAAAAACACTTACATATCTGGGAAGCATCATTGATGAACACAGTGGATCTGATGCAGATGTGAAGCCGCGGATAGGCATAGAGAGAGCAGCATATCTAATACTGAAGAACATCTGGAACTCAAAACAACTGTCAAACAACACAAAGGTCGGGATTTTCAATACGAATGTCGAGACAGTTCTACTGTATGGGGCAGAAACTTGGAGAACTACAAAAGCCATCATTCAGAAGATACAAGTGTTTATTCTACGGTGAGACTATAATTTATGGACGACCTTTGAGCAATGGTAAAAAAAGACCTTGAGAATGTCCACGTACATACTACGTCCAAATCAGGGTTATAAACCGGTTTGAGAAATTAAGATTAATATTTAAGGTTGATGAGAACGTTAATTCTATCAGTAGGTCTATGATGAAGTGATAACAATAAAGATTCTAATTCAAAGTTGATGATTAGGGTTAGGAATTAGATTTAATGGTTTTCATCACAAACTGACATCAATCATAATGCCGAAATTCTATTTAAATAAATGAAGTGAATGCAGTTTGTGCCAAAATCTGAGACCCGTTACCCTAAATCCGATTGGCTCGTCCATAATCTATAGACTTACCGAAAAGTGTAACACTTCAAAGAAAAAAAATCAATGAATTATGACTTACGATGCTGGAATTTGTTGAATGCCGTTAATCGGCATACTACCTCTGAGCGCAGATAAGGGGGCTGCAGTTCCTGTAAGAGGCAATGCACTGCAAAGAAAAACACAGGATATCAAGACAATAGGGACTGAAGAAAAGTGGTAAATATATGAAACAGATATTTAGTATGGACAATTATCTCCTCACCAAACAAAAACTGACAATCGAATCAATCTATGGAATTAGTGGTTAAAGTAGAATCGTTTGTATTTGTTAAGAGTGAGTAAATAAGTATAAAGTGGAACTTAGACAATTGCTCTTTAGTGAGTCAGTCAGTCAACTCCATCTGGAGCCCCTCTGGGGCTACTGCCGGTCCCAAGCAAGGATAAAGGAAAATTGTTGCGATGGGGCTACTGACCCCATCCCGTAGAAAACTAACTCGCTTAAAAAACGCCAACGAGAAAATTTATTCAAACCACTTAAACTTTGCCCTGTGAGTCTGAAAGTCTTCATTTAGAAGAATTATGACGCCTCATGATAAAAGCCGAGTTTCTTTGGATGTCACGAGGCGGATGGCTCTTCTTACAACCAGAGCAACCATTTATTTAGGTAGATGGAATACTCGTACAATGTGGGAGATCGGAAAAGTCTTCCAAACTGCTACAGAAATGAGGAGTTACAACCTAGAGGTGCTTGGGATCAGCGAAACACGTTGGACACAAGCTGGACAACAACGACTAGTGTCAGGGGAGCTTCTGTTATTTTTCGGCTATGAAGAAGAAAATGCCCCTCGTACACAAGGAGTTGCATTGGTGCTGTCCAAACAAGCACAAAATGCACTTATAGAAAGGGAATCTCATGGACGAAGGATCATCAAATGCGCTTTCAAAACAAAAAAGGGGGCATTTTAATGAACGTCATCCAATGCTATGCTCCTACAAACGACTACAATGAAGACGCTAAAGATCAATTCTACGATAGGCTGCAGTCAATCGTTGAGAAGTGCCCAACGATGGACTTGACCATTCTGATGGGAGACCTAAATGTCAAGGTTGGAATGGACAACATTGGATATGAAGACATCATGAGACGACATGGACTGATAGAAAGAAACGAAAATGGTGAGAGATTTGCAAACCTATGTGCCTTCAATAAACTGATCATAGGCGGCACCATATTCACATATAAACTCATTCACAAAACCACATGAACTTCACCGGATCACACCACGCAAAACCAAATCGACCATATTTGCATCAACAAAACGTTCAGGAGGATTATGGAGAACGTGAGAACCAAGAGAGGAGCCGATATAGCATCAGATCATCACTTGGTGGTCACCAAGATGAAATTGAAACTCAAGAAACACTGGACAATGAGGCGGATAATATCTCAAAAGTTCAATACGGCCTTTCTTCAGGATACTAACAAACTCAACAAATTCAAGATAGTCCTCAGCAATAAGTTCCATGCCTTTCATGATCTACTCAATGGAGAAGGAACTACTATGGAGAGCAACTGGAAAAGGATCAAAGAATCAGTCACTTCAACATGTCATGAGGTTCTGGGCCACAAGAAGCACTATCACAAGGAATGGATCACTGTTGATACACTGGTTAGGATTCAAGAAAGGAGGGACAAGAAGGCAGCAATCAATACCAGCCGAACAAGAACAGAAAAAGCCAAGGCACAAGCTGAATACACAGAAGTAAACAAGCAAGTGAAGAGGAGCATTAGAACCGACAAACGTAAATATGTGGAGGATCTAGCAATGACGGCGGAAAAGGCTGCAAGGGAAGGAAACATGAGAGAACTGTATGACATAACAAAGAAACTCTCTGAAAATCATCGTAAACCAGGACGACCAGTGAAAAGCAAGGAAGGCAAGGTAATCACCAACATTGAAGAGCAACGAAACAGGTGGGTAGAACACTTCAAAAAACTCTTGAACCGACCAGCTCCACTGAACCCACCCAACATCGAAGTAGCTACCACGGACCTCCCAATCGATGTTGGGATTTGACAGCGTGAACAGGAAAACAATATGGAGGCTTCTTCGACACTACGGCGTGCCTGAGAAAATAACCAATATCATACGGAATTCCTATGATGGATCAAACTGCAGAATAATGCATGGACGACGGTTGACAGACTCGTTCGAAGTAAAGACCGATGTCAGGCAAGGTTGCTTACTACCACCCTTCCTCTTTCTCCCGGTGATCGACTGGATCATGAAGACATCAACATCTGGAGGGAAGCATGGGGTACAGTGGCCATCTAGGATGCAGTTCGACGATCTAGACTTCACAGATGATCTGGTTCTTCTATCGCACACGCAACAACAAGTGCAGGTGAAGAAGACCAGTGTAGCGGCGGCCTCAGCAGCAGTAGGTCTCAATATACACAAAGGGTAAAGCAATATTCTCTGAAACAAAACAGCATATGCCAATCGAATCACACTTGACATAGAAGAGTTGGAAGATGTAAAAACACTTACATATCTGGGAAGCATCATTGATGAACACAGTGGATCTGATGCAGATGTGAAGCCGCGGATAGGCATAGAGAGAGCAGCATATCTAATACTGAAGAACATCTGGAACTCAAAACAACTGTCAAACAACACAAAGGTCGGGATTTTCAATACGAATGTCGAGACAGTTCTACTGTATGGGGCAGAAACTTGGAGAACTACAAAAGCCATCATTCAGAAGATACAAGTGTTTATTCTACGGTGAGACTATAATTTATGGACGACCTTTGAGCAATGGTAAAAAAAGACCTTGAGAATGTCCACGTACATACTACGTCCAAATCAGGGTTATAAACCGGTTTGAGAAATTAAGATTAATATTTAAGGTTGATGAGAACGTTAATTCTATCAGTAGGTCTATGATGAAGTGATAACAATAAAGATTCTAATTCAAAGTTGATGATTAGGGTTAGGAATTAGATTTAATGGTTTTCATCACAAACTGACATCAATCATAATGCCGAAATTCTATTTAAATAAATGAAGTGAATGCAGTTTGTGCCAAAATCTGAGACCCGTTACCCTAAATCCGATTGGCTCGTCCATAATCTATAGACTTACCGAAACGTGTAACACTTCAAAGAAAAAAAATCAATGAATTATGACTTACGATGCTGGAATTTGTTGAATGCCGTTAATCGGCATACTACCTCTGAGCGCAGATAAGGGGGCTGCAGTTCCTGTAAGAGGCAATGCACTGCAAAGAAAAACACAGGATATCAAGACAATAGGGACTGAAGAAAAGTGGTAAATATATGAAACAGATATTTAGTATGGACAATTATCTCCTCACCAAACAAAAACTGACAATCGAATCAATCTATGGAATTAGTGGTTAAAGTAGAATCGTTTGTATTTGTTAAGAGTGAGTAAATAAGTATAAAGTGGAACTTAGACAATTGTTCTTTAGTGAGTCAGTCAGTAAATTAGATACAACCTAGGAACAGGCACATTTATGAAACGGTCCAAGTTGGCACACTTCATTAGCACAACAAGATGAACACCGATTCATAGAAGTAGTTAATTCAGAGGTGATAATATATAAAAGAAAGATTGCATATAAGGATATAGAACAGGAAGAAGGAAATAGTTCATAGAAACAAGGATATAAATCAATTTTAATCTCAAAGTTTAAGGGAAGACAACTAGTGTACACATCTATACCATTGTGATCGATTCTCAACCATGTCACACAGAATCTCCAACCATTGGTTACGATTGTCACGTGGACCCCAACCAACTAGTCTTTATCTACTGACATGAGTCAGACTAGAAGTTAGTGACTTGAAGTACTGATTTCGCGTTTTAGTGTGTCCGCGCCTATCTTTCTGCCACATGTCTACCACACTAGTCAGTATTGTGCGTCGTGGTAATCGGTGTTCAAGCATAAGCAACACTTGGCCCAACCATCTCAGTCGATGAATATTTACAACCTCATCAACTGATTTACATCATTCCCTAATACCCTACGTCTAACCTCACTTTTACTTGCCCAGTGATCCCAGCCAATCCGAGCATTATTTCTAAGACATCTGTGGTCAAATACTAGTAGCTTACGAATATTTTCTACTGTTAATGGTCACGTTTCGCAGCCGTATAGTAAAACAGTACGCACTGCCGCGAAGTATACTCATCCCTTAACTGATAGACGGATATCTCGCCTTCGTCATAGGTCACGTAAGTTGTCGAAAGCCAGACGAGCTTTTCGAATCCGTGCTGAGATTTCGTTAGACACCAACCCATTAGGGTTGATCAGCGTTCCAAGATAAATGAAGTTGTCAACGCGTTCGACTACTTCACTCCGTCTCCTTAGTTCAGGTGTTGACGCAGACCAGTCCTGAAGCAACAACTTGCATTTAGAGAGAGAGAGGGAGAGAGAGAGAGAAACGCATTCCAAACATTCTGGTATTATTGCATAGTGCTATCAAAAGACTGTGCATTTTATCAGCGTCTTCACCAAACAGGACTATATCATCTGCGTATTTTAATTCGATAAGTGAACCTCCTTTTTGGAGAAGAATACCCGAAAATTCAGTCGGTGAGAGCGTTATTTGCATCATTAGGTCTGTGACGACGTTAAACAAAAATGGAGAAAGTGGACAGCCTTGACGGACACCACTTGAGGTTGTCAAAGCAGATGACAATTCGCCATAAGCTCTGACTCGACTAGTAGTGTTCGAGTGAAAAGCCCTCACAAGATTTATGTACTACTGAGGTACACTTTTAGTGAATATATGTGTATACATAAATTATAGTTTGTTAGGATCTGAGGAGAAGCTAATCAAACAATAATGAATTCATGTTGTTTTGACCAAATCTGAATTCTGACTCTCTTCAAAATTCTAAACTTGTCACTTAGTTCTAATTCATCATATATTCTGTTCCATTCCAGTTTATATAATCACAATAGTCTAAATAATACAAGTTACTTGAGGACGATTTTAAGTGTTCTGATTGGTAGTCTAGGAATAAGAAGAATTGTCTTAGGTAATCAAGTATTAACTGGGTTAATGCGATTATAAGTGTTAGGACAGTATACAATATTACAACAAAATTTCCTTACTGCATCTGTGTTAATCCATAAAAAATATGCATTATGTTAATCCATAGAGGAATGTATACTACAAACATGGATCATTCTTCATTAGAAAAAGAAGGTGAAACATAGAATTATTTTGTGTTTCCATAGTAACGAAATGTTTTGACAAAAACTGTGTGACTTACCTTCCAACTCTTTGTGGAAGACCGTCAATCATGTTACTCGATGTTGGAGTAAGTGGCATTGGTAAACCTGTTAGTGGAACTGGCCTGTTGAAAAAAAAATAAATCGTAAATTCATAAAAATATGAATCCAACAATCATGTACTCATTGGTGACTAGTTTCGAGATGAGTTCTAGTGAGAAGCCATGACAAGTGGAATTCGACCGTGTCAGGTGTGAGACAATCATCTACCGAAGACAAGAGAAGATGGCCGTGCAACACCATAGATTGATTGAAATAAGACATTAACAGCATTCGATGCCGGCTTGGTGATCTAGAAGTTTAGTGTTCATGCGCGAGATCTATGATTGTGGATTCGATTCCTACGTGCCGAGTCGTGGGTGCACAATGCTAATGAAAAATCTACTCAGTGCATACAGGTTTTCAATGGTGATCCAAATTGGATTGGTTCATGAATTTAAAGAATTCATATAATCCGATAATGTAATGAAGTTTTTCGTTTGTGATCTTCAACTAATTACCACAACACATTCATCAGATATTAACAACGGAATGAATATAGCTTTGATGAGAGTGTATTCTCTAATTCATATGAAATAGTTTAGTGGATATTATGTAATCTATAGTTCAATGTGTCAGCCTATACCGGACATTCAAAGTGAATCTTTAATTTTAGGAAATAATCCAAATAGTTGTCTAGTTTAATTTATATTTTAATTTTTGAAAAGTGACAAATGCCAGTAAACCAAAGAAGACAAGTCATTCAGTTATTCGACAGTGAATCATGATTAAAATCAACAATTGTCTAAGTAGTTTATTCAACAGACAGGTATCTACTTTAATACAAAAGAAGATGGGTGCTCAATTTTGTGGATTAGTTGAAGTTAAACATTTATACTATGGAATGCCGGCTCAGTGGTCTGAAAGTTGAGCGTAGGTCCTGGGTCTGAATCCCGCGAGCGGGTTCATGGATACGCACTGCTGAGGAGTCCCATAATGAGTTGAAACGGTCGTCCAGTGCTTCCAGGTTATCAATAGTGATCTAACGCCAATCGATTCATGATCTCGAAGAAAAAAATTCCAAACGTTGAAACAGATTGAGTATTAAATTCTCCTAACCATTTTACTGATCATTATTATTATTATTACTGTTAGACAGTTTTCCGATGAAATAGACTATTATATGCTCATATTCTATAAACTCTAAGTGACTGTCAGATAGCGTAACTATTGTCAGGCGTTTACCAGTATTCTAATTGGTGTTCACTGATTATTCACTTATTGGTTCATGTCTTTAAAATACTGTAGTTCGATTGTATGAAAAGTACGATTTTTAAGGAAGTGGTTACAGCAAGTCAACAAGAAACTATGAACATAGGTTTTGTGCTATTTGGTACTCATCAGCAAGACGTACACGTAGCATCAAGAAAATTGATGAAATTCGATGGATTGGAAGCCACGCCACCCTACTCCACAATCAGAGACTTTTTCACAAAACTATCCAGACACCGACTCACTTTCTGCAAGACTGAGATGTATCTATAATTGACCAATCAATGGGCTATGATAGATACAGGTACACCATCATAACGAGCGACAAGTAACATAAGGCCTAGGTCCAGGGTTTTTGTCAACTACCTCCAACCACCACCTTGTATCTCAGCATAGTGCACACGATATTGAGTCACCTATACTGGTAGTCACATCACAACTTGATCGATAAAATTCGATACGCAATAAGAAGGACCTGACATACATAACATTAATTACTACCCAGTGATCACCTCATTGCAAAAAGTGTATTCCTTTGCTTAGGATCCGTCGTGGTTTAAATGATCATCTTGATAAATCCATGATGGTTTGAAATATAATAATTTTCCTTGCTCACTATGTTTACATTTTGGACTAGATTTTAGGATAGAAGAAAGGCGTGCATGATGATCCACTAGTGGCAGTTTGATGTTGGCCGTTGTCTATCGAAGCATATCATATGTCAAAGCTCAGGCTGTTTGTCTGTTAATGAAAACGTTTATTACATGTATTCAGAATCACAGCCCGGATTCTTATCCAACATATAAGAAAACCATATTTTCATAATAGTGGACAAGTTGGTTTATCATTTTCCTATGCTGGTATAACAAAATTTATCCAATTACATTAGTTAACGGCATGAATACTCCAGTTAATCATAAAATCAAATCAACTTATAACTCACGACGCTGGAATAGACGTTAATGCTATTGGGCTATCTGTCACTGAAGCACGAGCCATTGAAATGGACCTACAAAAACATAATAAAGTAAGAATCTCATGCAAATGTGCCTTGGTAGATATATCTCACTAGATCGGTTCGTAATCTTATCACATTGAACGATCTTCACAGTGCTGTAGTGATAATTAACATGTGCTCACTAATGACTAACTCTGAGAGGAAATCTCAAGAGTTCTAGTGAATTTCAACTGTGTTGGTTATGAATAAGGTACTTATGGAAGAAAATTGGACAAAGTAACTTAATATCGTCAGTCGATTGAAGTTAAACCTGTACACTATTGAATTCTGGCCCTGTAGTTTCAAGGACAAGCGTCCGTTCGCGAAATCGTGGTTCTTTCATTTGGTCTTCAGGTGCGGGTCCGCGGATACACATCGATGAACAGCTTCATCCCTGAACGAAACAACTATCCAGTGTTTGTGTTTAACTTAGACTGGTCATCAATCTCAATTAAATTCAACGATTTCCACAACCCCATACTGGTAAACCAAAAGGTCACAAAATCAAACTATTATATCCTGAGGACAATGTAGATAGCGAAATAGATAAATTAAAGAACGCATTACGAAATAATGGATATCCAGATAATTATGTATGAAATTTCTGTCAGAAGGTAAAAACAGAACAAACTCCGGCCAAAAAACTTGATTTTAATGGGGACATAGCGATTAATATTTTAACAAGTCGACTCAAACAATCTAATGAAATGGTATTTTATAGCACCGAGTTACATATAATCTCCTCAAACAAACTGGTACTTACACAACAGATTAAGGATAGGTTACTGATAATGAGGTCCTCCATTTGTGTACATCAATTTAACTGCTTCTGTGGAGATAGTTACACAGGGCATACTCAAAGGGCTTTATCCTTGCTTGCTGGTGAACATGTACCACCATGTTTGGCAAAAGGTATCACGAAGTCTGTTAACAGCGTCATTTTTTCTCATTTGACAGATAGTGAACAGAATATAAAAATAGACGAAGCTTGTCCTATTTTTTATCAAGCTCTTAACAATCTACATAACGGAGCGAGATTACAATTCTTCTACACACCTGAAGCCCCCTGGATCAACTCCTGAAAATCTAACTTATGTATCCAAAAGAGGTATATCTGGCCCCTATGTTTACCTTGGTCCACGACTAGATCACTAGATATATAAACTGGATGTTATAAACGTCGTATCACACCTCCCAATAGCTTAAGTGCTTATAACTTTTTTAATCTACCCATTCAGCTTTCCCAATTCACATGAGTTATCTATAATAATTACTTTGACATATTATATCCACTGTTCTGCTGTATGGAGCGGAAACTTGGAGAACTATGAAAGCCATCATCCAGAAGATACAATTGTTTATTAACAGTTGTCTACTCAAGATACTTCGGATCCGTTGACCAGACATTATCAGCAACAACCAACTGTGAGACAGAGTGAGTTGTAGAATGGTGGTCAGTGGCCTATTCTTCATTGTGGGTAACAGGCGCAAGTAAACAAGTGAGTACGTAAGTAAGTAAGTAGGGCACGCATTATCAGATAAGAGTGAATGCTGAATAAGTGTCTCAGAAAGGTTAGTAAGTGTAATGATAATGATGACAATGGTAAGATGTGTGAATAAGATAAGTTTAAGATATAAAAATGGACATCATTCAAATTATGTCATCATATCATAAAATTGATTTTTAACTAGTTGAGCCCGAAGTTGGCCAGAGTAAAAGGAGCGGTTGAACACATTTCTTTCAGATGAAAAACTCTGATTGTTTTTTTATCCGAATAGCAATTGCTTCAGCCGTCTGCAGGATTCTCACTCTGACGGAATTAGATAAACTGCTGTTAACACGATATGTTAAGCCGATAGTTACCTATTTATCTAGGTTAGACGAACTACTGAAGGTACACAAACCGGATATCCCTTTGAGACTAATTTTGGACATGCACGATTCCTCTTATCATACTGTGGCAAAGCGGTTAGTATCCGTTTTAAAACTACTCTACAAACATCTAGTGAAGCATAGTTTCATGAACTGATCAATGTTAGGTCAATGTGCTAACTTTCGACAGCCAAAATAAGGGGTACATTAAGGAATTATGCGTAAAAACTTGTGAACTTTATCATATCATACAACATAAGTACTTCAATGTTGTGTTATTTAGATAATTAAAATAACCCATAGTGTCATTGAATAAGAAAAGGAGAATTCAGCGAAGAAAATTTTCTTTTCGACGAAATCATTTACTTAAGCTGTACATTCGTATATATAGTTATATGGAAAATGTATGTCTATAGAAGGATAGAATGGATTGTATCACACAAAAAGGTCATTTAATAAGGATCAGAATGATTCGTAATAAAGTGTCAAGTTGTTCTCAATATTATAATAATACAATAAATCATGTGAATGAAATACATAGCAGGGGAATTTCGTCTCGTTAATCGAGGTAATATTAATTACTTACGTACTTATTTACTTACGCCTGTTACCCACAATGGAGCATAGGCCACCGACCACCATTATCCAGCTCACTCTGTCCTGGACCTTCCTTTCCACTTCTATACAATTGTTGTTCATTCTTCTCATGTCTGTCTCCATTTCTCGACGTAATGTGTTCTTTGGTCTTTCTCTTCTTCTTTGGCCTTGAGGGCTTCATGTGAGGGCTTGCTTTGTGACGCAGTTCAGTGCTTTCCTCAATGTGTGTCCTATTCACTTCCAGCGCTTCTTTCTGACTTCTTCCTCCACTAGGATCTGGTCCGTTCTCTCCCACAGTAGGTTCAAGTTGTCATACATCAATTCTTGCCTAATCTATCTTATTCTACGTATTACGTAATTTTCGATTTGTAATTACACTATTCTCTCTCTCACCCCATGTTGATCGTACTTATTCTGATCATTCATTTCAAGCTAACACTTCATATTAGTCATCCCAACATTAACGATGGCAAATAATCCTTGATTCACATGCTACAATTTTATATGTACTTTGCCTAGGACCTAGCCAGTTTTATAGATTATAAAGTTGAATATATAATTGTAGAACTTAATGAGAAAGAAGTATTTCCTGGAGTTCTAGTGAGAAACTGTGACCAATGGAGTTCTACCAGGTCTGTCATGGGATAATAACTCAATGAAGACAATGATGGACGGTCTCACAATGTCCTGAATTGGTTGAAGTTAACATTAATACTGTTGGATGCCGGCCGGCTCAGTGGTCTAGAGGTTAAATGTTCACGCACGAGACCGATAGGCCTTGGGTTTGAATCCTTCGAGCGAGATCGTGGATGAGCACTACCACTAAAAAGTGCCTTACTAGGACAAAACGGTCATCCAGTGCTTTCAAGTTTTCCATGATGGTCTAGTTTTAATTGACTCATGAATTCAATTGTGTTTGAATTAGAGTAATCCAAGTGTTGGATATCATATGTCACATCATTTATTATCTGTAAGCTAGAAAAAATAATCAACGCCGCCTGTAGCTCTTCTACAGTTACTGCCGGTTCCAAGTTCGGGTAAAAGAGGGGGATTGGACATGGAGTTAGCGACCACATCCCATAGAAAACTAACTCGTTAAAAAAAACACTAACCAGAAAAAATAATTAGTGCTAGTGGGAGGCTTATGCTCCTCCATAAGGAGTAATAGGCGTAACTCTATCTCTCTAGAAAAAGATAATCACACCCATCTATATATATATATATATATATATCTATTTCCTATTCATACAGAACACTTACTGATCTCCATCAAGTTGAATTTTATTTTTATCTAACTTTGATCTCCATGATTTAGTTTCTTTTAATTTATTCAATGTTGCTAAATCAGTTGATGCTAAAATGGAACTATTCCTTCGTCGACGTCTACGTAATAAACAAATAAGTAATAAGATCAATGCAGCCAATAATAGTAATGATGCTAAAACAATTAATGCAATTGCAGCTGGATGTACTACAATGAAAATAGAAGATAAAAAGTAAATAAATAATTCTATTTTAGTTACATAGATTAGATCATATTACATAATAGTTAAGTTTTAATGATATAGATTGTATTCATCATAGGCTAATCGGAATTGGAGAGAGTCTTGTAAATTGCCAAGTTTTACTTGACTACCTACTTATATCTGTAACACTTCGTGTAACATAACTCACGTATCAGGAATCTTTAACCCACTCTCTCCTAAGTTCTACTTTTCGGTTATTTCTAAGTGCTAATAACTCTGTTGATATCTACATTCAATTTCAAATGACTAAATACTGGATAGTTAGTTATTTCGTATTAGTATTGGATTCCCGAACAGTGTACATCTATGATCCTTTCAAGAACTAAACTCAGGACTCTTATGTCTCGTAATGAACCTTCAACTACATGTACACTTCCATCCTTAGTCAATTTGTGATGTGTGCTACAGTCATTCAACACCATCGGTAATACAATAATTTCACTTCTAACATTATCTGAACACCACAAGTCATAATAGATCCCAAGTGTTCTTTGATTTTTAATGCTGACCCAACTAAGATCAGTCTGATTAATGTGTAATGACTCACATTTATCACGAGAACACGACTGGTTTAATAAAAACAATTATTATTATAACCAACTGTACCAGTGTTTATAAGCAAAGATGGATAGTGGCTAGCAGTGGAATCCAGGACGTGCGTTTCGTCCTATTTGGGACTCGTCAGCTGGATGTGCCTGCATCTCAGAGTTGATGTTCACTCTGTACCAGTGTTTGTTTTAATGTGCTATTATTTGACTGTGCTAACGACAGCTATATTGTGCTTCCATTCTTATTCTTACACTTTGATTGTGACTCCACGCGAATTCGGTTACGTTCTGTAACCAAGCTTGTATCATGGCACGATCTCAGTATCCTTTCGATACCACGAGATCGCCAGCAAATATATCTCGACTTGGTCCATTAACTGCCTTCTGATATTTGGCTTCTCGAGGATTTTATGGATTTATTTGGTTACATTCAACCTTCGGCTTCTGATTTGTTTGGCGGTGTTCATAGTCAATTTCAACTCGACGCCACGCTACAAATGACTGGAAATCTCAATTTGACATCATTATGTTAAATTACTTTCTATCAAAATACAAAGTCACTAGTGAATTATTTGTATGATATGAGTTAGTTGAACAATAGGTAACTCCTGTATTTCTACTAAGAAGCCATAACCAAAAGAGTTCAGTCCGTTTTGTGTGTCAGATAGTTATTCACCTCAGGTAATGAGTGAAGGTTACGCAAAGTACAATGTGCTGTTCTTTTCCAGACACGTAAAAACGCAGTGTGTCGGTATATTCAGCTGTCAGTGTTAACGATGGTGAACTTATGAAGTACTAGTGGTCTTGGTATAGTGTCAAAGAGAGAATCATAGTTAAGAAACGAGCGTCAAACCTACTCCTTATACGTTTCCAGGTTGAAAAATATACTTGTGAATGGGTAACTGGTAAGAAGATGTTGGAAAATCTTTTGTCCAAATTCTTAATATCAATGATTTAAGTACACACAACCGAAATCAAATACAACTCCAGGAATCAGGTTACTCTGTCCAATTTTGGTTGTTAATTCTAATGGTAATGATCACATACTTTTAATTTATAACTGATGAGATAATAAGGTATATAGTAGGTGAAAGATTGAGGTTGTCAAAATATTAGATCTATACAGATCAAGGAATTTATCATTGTATTTATTATTTGTGCGTTCATTCAATGACCATCCAAGGTCATTAAGACAATGTATATCTGAAACAATTGAGTGTTATTTGACTTGGCAATGTGTATCAGGATACATACCTGTGAACTGATGGCGTATCTGCCTCAAAATGTTCAATAAATGTGGAAGATCTAGGAGAATAATTTTCATTGAGGACTTCATTTCATGCCCTAACTTTAGCTTCATTTGATTTTTTAAATCCGGCAGACTGGGATGCGCTACAGTAGACTGTTCACAGAAGAAACTATGTAGTTAACTTTAGATGATGAAAATTAAGTCCCCGTTGAAAATTACTCTGTTACATAACAGTGACACGTTAAATGAACGGAAAATGGTCGAAAAATGCTAAATATCTTGCTTTCATAAAAAATTGATTATCGGAGCTAATCCGTGTTAGGTAGAGACAGATATCTACTTCAGTACAATGATAGATGGTCACGCGATTTTGTGAATTGGTTGAGGTTAGACATTAACACTGTTGGATAGCGAGTCGGTGGTCTAGAGGTTAAGCGTTCGGACACGAGACCGGAGGTCCTGTGTTCGGATCTCGCGAGCGGGATCGTGGATGCACACTGCCGAGGGGTCCCACACTAGGAAGAAACGGCCGTCCAGTGCTTCCAGATTTTCATCGGTGACATATCAATGTTAATCAAATATTATATGTATTATGTTATGCTTTCAATCGGTGTTTTTAAATGGGAAACAATCAACTTAACAAAATTAACTTGGATTCAAAAATGCTTAGATATATAATATGAATAATCAAATCTGCATTACTTACAAACACATTGTTTTCCAGGATCATTTGGATTCATATCTTTCCACATAGAATTACAAAAGCAAGTAATTCCTGGAGGAGAATCACGGCATGTGGCATGTTCTCCACATGGATTAGTAAATTGTGAACATGTAACTGTACCTGAAGTGCCTATTATAGTAAGTGTTTTTAATAAAAGACAAAATCAACATTGGGAAATGTTATAACTCAAATGAAAACAAAGTATACCAGTTTGATAGTTTTGTTTGACAAAGTTTTAGATTGATTAAAAACAAATTATTTCTGTTATAATACTCTGTTTTCTTTTGTCTATAACCGACTTCCAGCTGAAGAGGAAATTAGGAAAAGATGTTGGAAGTGGATAGGACATACTTTATAGAAATCATCAAACTGCATCACGAGGCAAGCCTTATCTTGGAATCCTGAAGGGAAGCAGAAAATAAGAAGGCTAAAGAACACATTACGTCTGGAAACAAAAGCAGATATGGAAAGGATGAATAACAACTGGAAGGAGCTGGAAAGGATTGCCCAAGACAGGGTTGGATGGAGAATGCTGGTGGGCGGCCTATGCTCCTCTATGAGGAGTAACAGGCGTAAGTTTCCTCGTCTATACGAATGGGACGTTAATTTTCCATAGACGAATATCTATACTACCTGCCCTTCCATTTTCTATTCTACAGTACTTCAACGCAATTCAGATCAAAAATACATGACTAGGCTGACTAGAAAGTAAGTATGCCTCCACACCAAAACCCAACAACAATCACACTAATAATAAGGATAGGAGAATATATAATTCATCTAACACCTATCAGACCATCTCTGCTGATTTGACTAAGCAAATGGTCAATTGTTATTTACCTTACCCACAGATCAATTTCAGTAATTAATAGTTAATTTCCACATTTAAACTTATTAGTAGAAAGGGTCTGTGAAGAATTTTGAGTTTTATAGTTTCCATAACGAATTCAACACTTCCTGAAAACCAGTTCTACTAATGATAATCATATGTTCATCAGTACAATCAATTCCTGGTGTTCTAATGTGAAACTGTAAGAAGTAGATTTCTGTCATATCGAATATTATACAATCAGTCACTGATGATATTAGAAATTAGTTCTACAATATCGCAAATTGATTGAAGTGAGAAATGTAAAGTTTGATTTTGTCTCAGTAGTCTAGATGTTAAACACTTGCTACCAGGCCTGTGATTCCTGCGTTCGATCTAGAGTGAGGTTATTTATCTATATTGATGACGACTCCTTAGTCTAGGATACTTCATGTGTTCCAGTGATTATCTAACGAAGTATAGTTTATGAAGTAAAGTATGCAATTCAATTCAGTTGATTGATTTGAACGTGACTGTTTGATTGGACGTTATTAGAAACACTAATTTGTTATGGTTGAACATTCTAATCAATATCATATACTATATTCCCAGTCAAACCAGTAATCTACTATTTCAAGAATAAACACATCAACCAATGAACCATAATCAAGGCTTAAATGCTTTATAGTACTCGAGTCTCTTATAATCTATCCGTAAACGATAATAGTAAACGGATTCGTTGTCCATTGTATTCGATTCATTTATTACTCAAAACGTATGTAATAATAGATATGAAATACTTCACCACACAGTACATTGAATAAGAAACCACATCTTTAATACAACTATACCATAAAAGGTAGAGGCTGGAGCAAAAGGCACATGATTAGCTAGAAGTTATTAGCTACCAGGAAAATATATAATGCAATCTGTTGTGGATGTGGAGGAATAGACCAATAATTATCATGTTAAGTCCAATGGTGTCCTTGGACTTTAAATGGACATTTCCTATTGGTTGGTATCTGTTCACTTGTTGAATATTGTACAAAATGTTGTTTTCTATTTTTATGGTACGATGTGGTATGTTTGGTTAGTATATAAATAGAGTATGTCTGAAATACAATGATTCATATCTCAGAGGTTGTGACTTGTGTTCTGGACTCAACTGACTGGGTTAGACAGGGAAGCGAGACCAATCGAGACTCTAGGCCGTTCGTTCGTGTTTACGTGTCACTGTAATCGATCAATAAGTACGCTGCTCTCTAATTTTCCAGTCAAGGACACAACAATTAGCACAGGGTAAAAATCGACCGCAATATAAAGCCATAACACAATCCAATTGCAGTAAGAACAACAACATAGAAACACAACAATAAAGTTATCTATTCAATATATAATGATGATATAAGTAGCTCCAACAGTAAGTAGACACATATTACCTCCTTAGGATCTACGTGTTTCTCGTGACCAATAGTTCGAGACTTTGAGTGACATAGCTGAAAATCGTCCACAATGTCTCAGATACATGTACTGTAATCTTTTATTCATCTTCTTTTGGATCCTAAGTTTCTTAATTCCTCATAAACTTCTATCATTATTTCATTAATCTATATTTTCTTCTTGTATTGAATCTTGAGTGTTTAATCTTTTTGATTACCAATAATACTACTACTACTGTCTTTACCGCTCTGGGATTAGTTTTGACAATTTCATCTCATTGTATTAATGGGGTATAATAATCTGAGCGGATATACATATGTACCAAGTTCTGCATAGCAACTAACGAACTGACTGAGTAGGATATGAATCTCAATAACAAATAAAGACAAATTTTAACAGAAATATAACACATAGAATTAAATGATTTTACTTACGTTGAACATCTAATGCATTTAGTTTAATAGATGATGGTGCTGTACTAGTTTTATTATATCCATTTATAAATAATCCATAAAGTTGATTACCCGTTAATTGTGTTCCTGTTGTTGTCGGTACATTAATCGTTGAATCACCTTTTACAGTTCGTACCACTGTACCATCTGGTCTAGTACTAGTTACTGGTGTAAAAGTCACTTGTTCACAACTTGCACCATCTGCTGCATTACTATCACCTTGTTTTAAGTAGTATGTTAACTATCGTTGTTAGTAATATATATTTCAAAAGCAGGGAGAAAAAAAAACAATACGATTAAAACATTAAGCATAATAACTTTTAAAGTTTGTTCACCCCAGAGATTGGGATCAAATATAGTAATAATGAAAACCAATGGGTTTATTAGCGTCAAATAGAAAGATGATTGGAGATTTGTGATGTATATTGTCAATAATGTTGTAAGTACAATAATAAATTACTATCAGAATTAGGACGCGAATAGTAACATTCCATTATTTCTCATTTGTGAAATCTTGGAATTCATCATTAAGTTTGTAAATTCTCTTTTTTATAATCCTTCTATGAACATATTTCAAAGGATTATGAGTGATGGTCATTTGTGATATCTTATTATTTAAGACTGATCAATAGAATTAATTCGAATCTTTGTCAGTTTGGAAATGGCTCAATTACAAAATCACGACTTTATTAAGTAAACTGATGAGTTATCCAGACTTATTCAATTTGATATTGGCCTATTGAATGTAGAAGCCTTGAAGGAACCGATGTTTCCTAGTGGATCGAGCTATCAACTAAACAGCTTCACAGCCTGTGATAGAACTACTGAGACATTCTGGTCGTAAATGAAGTTCTGTAGGACTGAAACGTTTAGAAATCACATGACACTCAGTGCAAAGTTTGTCCACCGACTATCTTCCATAATTGGACATGTAGTGTTGAATTAATTATACTAATAGAATCAGATCAGGACTAAAGAACTCATCAGAGCTTAACCTCTTATATAACTTAAATCATTTCTGTATTGATTATTCGAATCTTAAGGTCGTTTCGTCCTACTGGTGGGACTTATCAGCAGTGCGCATCCACGATCCCACCTCGTGAGATTCAAACCCAGGACCTATCAGTCTCGCGTGTAAGCGCTTAACCACTAGACCATTGAACAGGCTGGTATCCAACAGTGTTAGTGTTTAACTTCAATCAATCCATGAAGTCGCTCCACCGTCCACCATTATCGTCAGTGATTTACTATCTTACAACAGATCCGGTTGAACTCCACTGGTCACGGTTTCTTACTAGAACTTCAGGATATACTTCTTGGAGACCAACATTTGATTATTGCTACTGATGTTCACGTTATAGGTAGATCATCTGAAAGTAATCAGTTACGTAACTATGTATAGTACAATAAAATATAAAAAAAAGAACATAATGAAATACAAAGAAAAGAGAGACTGTTATTAAAGACTTAAACATACTAAATCACAATATTTTGATTTTAAATTAGCATAACCAGGTGAACTTGTATTGGCATATTCTTCAATCCATTCAACTGGTGTATCATTAACTTGATTATATAAATTTGATTTAACATTGAATTTAGTAGAAACTGAAATAGAATTGAAATGAAATAGGAAATAATGATGGAACACTTTAAAATTTGTTATCATAAACTGTTTCTGGGTTCGAGTCCCGAAGTGAATATCAACTGTGTGATGAAGGTATATCTTAGATGATAAATCTTAAATAAGATGAAATGGTGCATCCATCTTGGATTTCACTACTAGTTATCATGGATTTATTTTTATAATGCTTATGACTTAAGGCAATATCAAGGTGATCTGTACAGAATGCACATATACCGATTAGAGACAAATTAATGGTAAGATTTGAATAACCAATACAAAATCGAATTCAAATATTAGTAGTTTATAGTACTTGGAAACAATTGGATAAAAGTGGCTAGAACAGATTATTTAGGAGATTCCTGATAAGGAGCCTAAGTTTCACGAAAAGTAACAGGTGTGTTATGTCCCTATAAGCATAATGAATGGTAACTGTTGGAATCTATTTATGGACTCATACTATGCGCATATTTTTATCGCACAATCTTTATGTAACTAAACTATTCATATCCATGTCCCTGTTACCACAAGCTTTATTTTGACCTATGAACTATTATTATACGATTTACCATTCATGAGTTATATCCAATCTATCAATCACTATCTTCCACATTCACAGCCACTTCTGGCTAGCCGTATTTGGCTAAATCTTGTACAAATTTTTTTTTCATATTTTATGGTACGATGTGGTCTGTCTGGTTGGTATATAAACCCAGTATGCTTGAAATAAATGGTTCGTATTGCAGAGGCTGTGATTGGTTTTCTGGACATAACTGGCTGAGCTAGGTAGGAAGCAGGACCAATAAGTATTCTAGACTGCTCGTACGGGTTTTAGGTGTCATTGGTCCGATGATAATTCACTGCTCTCAAATTGGCGGTATCTTTACATTATACATTAATAAGGCACACAGGCTACAAGTTATAACAAGGTGTAATTGAGTAAACTGATAGTCATTTTTATCAAGTTAATGACTAGCTGACTAGAATCATATAGTTTTAATAGTTCACACCAAAAGTTCGAGCATTAACAGGTACAATCATAAGAAAAAGTGATATTAATAAAGGTAGGCATCGGAAAGAGGAATCTCATTTTTCAGAGTTTGCAGTTTTTATTATTTACTGCCCGTTCCTTTGCTACAACGATCAATAGAAAATATAGTTCTTCCAAACGTTCAATGAAGAAACTATCGTCAACAAACAGAGTAATTCATCGATTATTATTATCCCGGTCATGCTATCTTATTCATCTTTTTCAGTCAGTTGTCATAAATATTATTTAAAACAGTTCATAGTCGATAAAATTGTACAAGTTAACTAACCGAGTGGTAGCATAACCGGTGCGATTGCTGTTGACGGTCTCGTTGCCAGAGAAAATTCGACAAAACTGTATGTAGGTACTCCATCATAGGTTGGTGTTGTTGTGTCAGACGATTTTGTTGTTGTTGTAGTCGTCGTCGTCGATAACACTTCTACCTGCGGTTGTGCTGTTACAGTTGTTGATTTTGTTGTTGACTGAGTAGTAGTCGTAGTATTAGTAGGAGGAGCAGGAGTAGTAGGTATAATTTCCCCTGGTTTAAGGTAAAACATATTGTTACAATTAGATAATGAACAATTCACAGATAATGCAAATGATATAGCTTCAATCTAAATCATACTTTTCTCTAGATTGTTTTCATTACTAATGTTTTAACAAGAAATAATAATCGAATTCAGTAGTCTAATTATGTATCTGTTAGGCCAAGCACATAAATTATGTCATTCAATACTTTATCTCAAATATTCTCCACTTCAATATGCTTAAATTAGACAACTGACCACATCAATAAATCTGTTGACATAGTTCAGAATATTTTAGAAAATCTATTTCTGGTGCATATACAATGATTGTTTGTTGTCATCGGCATCGAAACGGAACGAATACTCCTCAATCACTTGGCTGGATAATAATAATAATTATAATAATAATAAAATTTTCATCGGTTGTTCGAATCCTCCCATTGATGTTCAGGACTATAATTGATCAATTTCTAATTGGCATATATGCATCCTGTGCAGATTGCCTTGATATTACATAAATTCATAAGCACCATAATGAGTTATAGATGGTGGTTAGCAGTGTAATCCGGGACGCGTGCCACTTCATATATCTTCATTCAAGAGTTGATGTTCACTCAGAGACTCAAATACAATGCTGTTCGCCTCAAACATCATCACGTTGTCCACTTAGCTAATGAGTCCTAATAGTCACATGCTTGTTCAATGAGATGAAGTTTAAATTCATTTGGTATTGTTTACTTTTATCTTCCCATCGTTGTTTAGGACTGCAATTGATGCCGGTCTATCCAGCTGACGAGTCCCAACTAGGATGAAGTAGCGTACATATTGAATTACACTACTATCCACCATCCATCTTTGATTATAAAGCTTGTGAATTAAGGCAATATCGAGGCAATCCGAACAGAATACACATATGCCAACAAGAGATTGATCAATCGCGATCCTAAACATCAATGGGTAGATATACAAGAAAGCAATACCAAATGAATTTAGATTTAAAATCAGTTTAACAATAATGATATTACTCAACTTACAACAAATCTATTTAGAATTTTAACACATCATCAAGTCTAATAGGCATATCACTCACTTTTCCTGTCAAATAAATAAAAACCACATGCTTGATATTATGAATAGATTTGGCGTATACTTTTCGACTACTCATAAATAACATAAGTAATATATCTGTGTATACTAAAAATGTATCACCTTGACCAAGATCAAGATGCATAAAGCATCAAAGAAGTAGGATTAGAGATTGTTAACAGTAATTTCACTTGCATGATTAAAACTTGTTCATCAGAATATTGTTTTAATGAATTCGTTCATTCTTTTTAAATAAAAGAAGGAAAGAAAATAGAGATTAATTACTGGGTCTTCAGTATTATCATCATTCCAACATTGTCTTCATTGATTGATGTAATTTTCCTTGATATTTTCTTGTTATTTTTATGTTATCGATTAAAATTGATTGGTTGAATTTTTTGATTGAAAGTTTCACTGTATTGATCGGATCAACCATAGTGAAATATTATCAATTTAATGCTTAATAATAAGGTTATATGTCAGAATGGGTTTTGTGGAGATTTTACAAATTTCACAGATTGAAATCATGAGTCAGTTGAAGCTAGACCACCATTGAAAACCTGGAAGCACTGGACGGCCGTTTCGTTTTAGTATGGGACTCCTCAGCAGTGCGCGCGCGCGAAGCCAGTAGGTCCTGGGTTCGAGCCCCGCGTAGTGCGGGATCGTGGATGCGCACTGCTGAGGAGTCCCATACTAGGACGAAACGGCCGTCCAGTGCTTCCAGGTTTTCAATGGTGGTCTAGCTTCAACTGACTCATGATTTCAATCTGTGAAGGTTATATGTATTTAACTCCACCTACAGCCCCTTTGAGGCTTCTGCTAGTTCCGAGCCCGTATAAAGCAGGACAGTTTGGCATGGGGTTAGTGACATAATTCCGTCGAAAAATAACTCGCTAAAAAACGCTAATAAGAAAATCTAAGTCAAACCATTAAAAAATCTGCCCTGGGAGTGAGGAAGTCTTCATTTAGAAGAGTTATGACACATCTTCGTGAAAGCTGAGTTACATCGAAAGCCATGAAGTCATCTAAACACTGCTGAGACTGAATAAAAATGAAATTTCTAACAAAACCACTAATTAGATAAATGTGCATTGTATTAAAGAATAAAGATATACTAAGTGGTTGCAAAAGTCAAAATAGATAAGACAGGGTTCGAATATAGAACATGATTATCAGAGCATATTGTTTCAATTATCTAATAAGAGAATACATCATTTTATAAATGTTATCAATCATCATTCTTAGTTCATGTATCCACCAAATATGCAGAACGAATAATGATCAAAGTCTTGTGCACAATATATAATAATGTACCATTTAGTTAGTTATAATGTGGATTATAAACATCACAAACTGAGATTAGTTAAACAGTATAAATGATCAGTTTGAATATTTCACCAATGAACATATGATTAGGGTATTCAACAATATGTATAATAGATTTTTTACTTGAAGTCATCATCTACACATAAGATTTAAGGAGCGCATATAGGAAATAAGAAACAGTGACGACGACAAAAAACATATACCTGGAAAACTAAAGGGAAAAAAAAGGTGAGCTCGTAACTACACAAAATAAAATTAAAATGCATTGAAAAAAACCAAAAGAGTGTGGACTCACCCGAAAAATTATTGAGAGGAGAAAATGATGTACTAGCGAGAACAGATGTAGAGAGAGTAGAAACAATTGCGGTACTGAGGGGAATCGAAGTCTGAGATGTGTTGGAATTCATGAGTGCAGATTGTGATGCTGATGTGATGGAAGTTGTTGTAGCGTTGAGTGTGATTGTGAGAGGAGTGGTGTTTGTGGTTGTGGTTGCAGTTGCGGTTGCAGTAGCGCTTGCGGTTGCTGTTGCGGTTGCGGTGTTGAGGGTTGTTGGGAGAGTGGTAGCGTTGAGTGTGACTGGTGTAGTTGTGATGCTGGTGGATGTTGTTGTGGACGTGTTGATAGATGTGTAGGGTGTTGTGGGTAGAGTGATGGTGGTTATGTTTGGATTGGTGGTTGTGTTTGTGGTTGTGGTAGTGGTTGTGGTTGATGCGGTGGATGGAGTAGTTTCAGTAGATGCAGTTGGCCCAGTTGTAGTTGTGATGTTTGTTGCAGTTTGAGTTTGAGTTGTTGTTGTGCTTGCATTGATTGGTGCAGATTGTGATGCTGGTGTGATGGAAGTTGTTGTGGCGTTGAGTGTGATTGTGAGAGGAGTGGTGTTTGTGGTTGTGGTTGCAGTTGCGGTTGCGGTGTTGAGGGTTGTTGTAAGAGTGGTTGTGTTGAGTGTGACTGGTGTGGTTGTGAAGCTGGTGGATGTTGTCGTGGACGTGTTGATAGATGTGTAGGTTGTTGTGG